TCAAGTAGGTAACTTAAACCAAACAGAAAGACATTTAGATGGGTATTATGGTATCCCGGCTGAGCGAACGGATAATGGTGATCGTCTGCTGCAATTGTGCTCAGACAATCGTTTATTTTTAGTAAGTATTACTTTTAAGCATAAGGAGAGACATTGTCTAAAATGACAACCCTCTGCACCAACGATGGACTCAAATAGACCATATTGCCATCAGTCATCGTTGGAGAGGTTCGATAGAAGACTGTCGGTCGTTCTGGAATACATGTTTAGACTGTGATCATGCTCTAATGAGAGCACGCATTTGCTTGCACCTCACTGGACGCAGAAAAACCACACTACGAAGACCCATTAGAATTGAACTGAGGAACGAGAAAGCCAAAAGTAAGTTCGAGGAACAACTAAGTTCATATTTAGGTAGTTCTGTAGACGAGGCTAACCCAGATGTTGCTTGGAAAGTTATACCAATAACAATGGAAATAGCAGTAACATCTATTAGGAACTTAAACCAAAGGGTTACAAAAAACCAATGGGTTTCTCCTAAGTCTATTGCACTGATAGATTCTCGTAAACTCATCCCATCAGGCTCTGAACACGATGAGCAGCGAAAGCAAATCAGATCTAGGCTAACCAAAAGTCTACGGAACGATCGTGAGCAGTGGTGGGCAACGAAAGCAGAAAATTAGGCTGGCTTCAGACCTGATCGTGGCTGCATCGACCACATATTCACTATTCGTCAGGTTTTAGAGTTCAGACATGCTTATCGGCGTCCGACAATGATAGTTTTTCTTGACTCAAAAGCAGCATTTGACTTTGTAGACCAAGAGGTTCTGTGACAGTCTGTCATTGAAAGGCTTACCTCAGAAGTACATAAAACTTGTGAAGGCTCTTTACTCGAGCACTACGAGTCGCGTGACAGCTTATGGCGAACTGTCATATGATTATACAACCTCAACTGGTGTCCGACAAGGCTATCAACTATCTCCATTTTTCTTCAATCTCACCATAGACATACGGATGGAAATAACGCTCTCGTCGACTGGATTTTCGAGCATTGATCCCCTACCAGGAGACCCACTTATCGACCTAGAATACGCACATGATATAGTCCAGTTTGGTGAAGGCGCTGATAAAATGCTGAGTCTTTTGGTAGCACTGAGTAACAATACAAGGATGTTTAAGTGCGTTTCTTCCACTCTTAATGTAAACTGTTGCTCAAGGACTGGCCTGCGTCAACACCTGAACTAAGAATAGGGAGTGAAGCAGTCAAACGCATCCACAAGTTCACTTATCTTAGAAGTCTGATCAGCCCTAATGGGTTGGTGTCTGACAAAATCTATGCAGGGACTCGAAAATCTCGTTTGGCTTTTGCCAACTTACGTCATCTATGGCGAAGGCAAGATATCCGTCTATCAACTAAGGAGCAAGTATACTGCGCAGCAGTTCGTTCTGTTCTACTTTACGGTTCTGGAACGTGGCCATTAAAACCAGAAGATACTCGTAAGTTACTAGTTACAGATGCCTTAGAAATATTGCTCTCATCTGCTGGGATCACCGGGTAAGTAGTGGTGAGGTTAGACGCACAGTATTAGTGAATGATGGTAAATCAGTTGATGAGGTTGTGAATCTTAATCAACTGAGATGGTTGAGCCACATGTTACGTATGCCTGAACACCGATTACTACGACCCGCGAGACTATCGTAACCAATGGTTGGAGACTGTGTGATATGGCTCAGAATTGATCATGATGTCGTCGGTGTATACACTCTCTATCTTCCCTTAAATTATGCTTCATATCTTTCTTCCTGTACTATATCCTTGTGTACAATCTTTCTTTTATATATTACCACCATTAAATTAACTAATTCTATGAATCTGGCGTTCATCTTGTTGTGCTAATGAGGTATGGGAACTTGGACCGATGCATATATGTGTCTGGTACTACTTTGTGACTGACTGACTGAGTGTTTTAACAGTTTAGTTTGGTGGTTGTTATTAACTGAATCTTTTCAGTGATTTTTCACAATTTGATAAATTTGCTAGAAGTTAGAAGTTATTAATAATACATGTACCACTTTTTCACGGCACACATTTTGTGAAATACAATTACAATCCTGTAAGTTTACCACAGTAAATAGGCATTGAAATACGCGGGAAAACATATAGATACAACTTTATTCAAATTGCGAAGAATGTTTAATGTTAATTATCAAATAAGAGGTTTAAATGATTTTGACGTTGGTATTCTAGATTCGACACTTAATCGGCTAATGTAATGTAAATATTAGGTTGAATAAATCATATTATTTACCCAATTTCACAACAGTCATGCATTTACTAATTTTGAAATGGATTACTGAGTGCTCTAGTGGTGGAAAAGAACCGTGAACTGTGAAATCGATTATTTATAGAAAGTAAAGTAGTTACATCCATGATGACATGGTAATGATGGTTGAGAAATATCATAAATTGATTAAAAGTGGAAGTAATGGCCACTGGGGTTCGTGTGGACATTATTTTTGGTGACTGGTTTTCGAAATGTCGTAAAAGAAGTAAAATGAAGGATTTCAACTCGATCACTCAATGATAGCTTTCAATTTAATGAAAATATCCAAACAGACAGATGAGAATACGTACATACCCATACAAGCACATGCTGCATATATATATATATATATATATATATATATATATATATATATATATATATATATATAGGAAACAAATCGAAATAACCGAAAAATGGGATAATTAACACTGAATTAATTAAATTTTGTGTTTTGGAAAATAAAATGGGAATATTCATCACATTATGTAGTTAACTGAGACTTTCACTTTGCCTTGATAAGGCAAATCAAAACAAAAGTGAGACCAAATAATTTGGTCAAATGACTACTACTAGTATTATGTTTCTTAATTCTTACAGTTAATTAGCAGTAAGTTTTGTTTACGAATGATGTGTCAAGGAACACAAGTCAAAAAATATTACGATGGTTAACGCTTGAATATTTACTAAAGCTAATTTACTGTAAGTTGATTATCAATGTTACCTCCCCTTAATGTCTTGGTACGATTGAAGGTGAACATATTACACAATAATAACGAAGACAAAGGCAACGAATATAAACTGCTTTTCTTCGTTAATAAAATATTGGAGTAATCTAAAAACTAAAAATATTACAAAATTTGTTATAATCCAGAGAAAAAGTGGTTGTAGTTTGGATTTTTTTTCCTATAACTTCAATGGAATATGAACGTCAATAATCTCAAGTGAGAGATGTGTTTTCATGTTGTAGATGCGACTCAATCCATAAGTCTAATGTTGATGACAGCTGTTCAATGTGTCCATACAACTGTTTTACATTTGATTGATAAGTTAAAAACTAACTTTTAATCGTGGAGATGTTTGTAAAAAAAACATCGATGATAAGGCGTACCCGTTAATGTATTAGTGAACAGGACAAAGAGAAGTCCTATAATCGAATTTAATAGAATTTCACTTGTCACATCAAACCAGTTTGACAAAACGGAGGAGACGCCAGTAGCTTATAGTTATTTCTCAGTAAGGTAGTCGTGTAAGTAATTTAAGCAAGAAATCATGGATACCTATAGGTTTTGATTTGTAGTGTTGTGGTGTGGGTTACTTACATCTATATAAGTAGTGTACATGGTGATGGTTAGGCATAGAATGTATTTTATCAGAAGATCGATAAGGAAAGAACAGGAACGAAGAGCGATCGATATGAAAATGCAAGAACAATGAAATCAGAGAAGATCGACTGATATTTGCAGAAGGAACAGTCAAGATTGAGACAATTAATTGTTATTTTGAAAATTAACTGTTTACTGTATGGTTATCAGATTTTAGTGAGATAGTCTGTAATCTGTGCTTAAATACATTCGATTGTTCCAACCCGTGTTCTCATTCACTACAGTGTGTCCCACTTAATCCTCTCTTTTTATTTAGAGTACACAATTGGTGAATTAGTGAACAATAGGATCTCTAATGCTGTTCGAGGTAGGATAGGGAAAAATCAAGACACGGGGTCAGTCCATGAAGACGCTGACTCTTGAACTGAGCCACTTGGTTAGCGTCCACGTGATTATTGTAACCAATGGTTAGAGACTTTGGATGACATGGATCGAAGTCGTTTGCAATGGCACAGGCACATTCGCTCTTCGTCTTCTCTTAAATTCTAACTTTCTAGATTACCTTATGAATTTATTTTATTCCACTAATCCATATTCTCTTCCCAAATCCTATCTAAGATGCTAAATCTTTTCTACCGCTGTTAATGCTGTTATTACATGTTTATTTTATTTATTTAAACACATATATATTGATACAAAAGGGTACCAGATACATATGCGACACACGTTATTACATGTACTACTTTGAGATTTATTTTGGCAATTTCGTCTTGCTGTGCTATAAGGTATAGCAACTTGGATCGGTGTACACGTGTAAGGTTTGACATTACTTATGACTGACTGATCGGTGGATTCGTCAATTTAGAAATATGTTTACACAAACAATACAACTTAATGCTCTCAAAGAAGAACACTGTAAGAATGACAGTTAGGAGAATATTAACCAATGAAATCGATACCGCGGACACTCGAAATGACATGCAATTCAATTAATAAAAATTATTATTCCAACGACTACCTCAAACACATATGAGTACAAGTAATGTGTACAGATCGTAATTAGTAGGGGTAAGGTACAAACAAAGGAAAAATAACTGTTTATGACCACTGATACGTACACATATACAGGGTGAATAATTAAGTGCTGACATTAAGAGCTGTTATATTATAAAAAGGAGCACAGTTACAGATAATGCTCGGAAACATACAACGTACATAAATCTATACAGACAGACAGAGGGAGATGATTAATGATTAGTTTACAGGAGAGGGGATGAGAAGAAGAAAAAATTAGCCATAATGAAAACATTTTGAAACATTAGATCAGTTTCAAGTGGATCAATCAACTAACCTGCCAATGTGTTTGTGAGCTACAAAAATTTGAAAAAAAATAATTTATGCAAAACAAAACAAATGAACAAACAAAAATGAAACTCAGTAAACTAATGAATACAAGAATATTATAAAAGTATCTACCAGATACGTGTGCTTTGATGAATATTGACCCTCTGAAGACGATGATGATAACGAAACAGATAGAGAAAACAAAGTATAAACTAAATATCATCTCCTTATTTGCCTAGATATTAATCTCTTTTCCGATTAACTGTGTGTGTGTGTTGAAGTACAATGTCGTGGTTAATGAGGACAAATATTTGTTCCTAACCTCGTAAATTATTTTTATTCATCCAAATTTCTGTCTAATAATTGACGATTATTGCACTGTTATCGACTGATCACAGCGATCATTATACGTTACTTTCAATATTTCCATTAGAAATGTAATATTATGGTGACATTACTTAATTTAGAAGTCATTAAATTATTTCGAGGTGAATTTAAACCAATGAAATGAATTAATAAACTGCTGAAATAAAGGAGAGCGTAGTAAACAGATGTGTGCATTTTTTAAAACACTTTCGACACCTCCTAAAGTTATCCTTATAGAGAGGATTAAGTGCCTGTCTAATTAAGTATAAATCTTTTCGTCCTACTTTATGCCATCCATGAAGTCACTGACAAGTGGACTGAGCCATGTTGGTAGGTGAAGACTATCTGGTTAGGATCCGCGAGATGATAGCAATCGATGGTTAGAGACCTTGAATGACATGGCTCAAAATCGTTTGCAATGGCGAAGGTGCATCCACTGTTTGTGTTCTCCCAAATTCTAATCTTCTGAATTCTTCATGTCTCTATCTTTTTCTCTTTCCTAATATATTTTACTCTATTATACTCCTTAAATAACTTATTCAAATCCTAATCTTTCGGATTACTGCTTATACTCTTACTACCTCTACCACCACGGGATTTGAATCGACAATCGCATCTCTATGCTAATGTGGTATGGCAACTCGAACCGATGTATGTATGTACGAAGTTCCACGTTGTGATTGACTGACTAAGTAGAAATTAAGTGGAGATCAACAACAGAGATTTAAATATGCGATCAGTTCAAGAAGTCAAAAAACTAGCTAAAGCTGCCTATTAAAACCACTTAGGCTATCATGTTGCTGTATCACTGATCTTTGTTCCAATTACCGAGTAAGGGGAAACCGTAATAGCATCAAACATATCATTTGGCGACGGTGGTTTTAGAAACATGGATCTAAACTTGAATCATTACTTGAGCAGCAGCTGAAACTAATGCAGATGTTGACGGTTATGAAAATTTCGTCTCCCACACATCCTAGCGCATCTAATGCAACCAATCACTTAACAAACTATGAACTACCACTTTTTTAGACTTCTTAACATACTAGCCATCATATTCGTTGAGGGATAGATTTGAAAAATGACAGTTGATCTCACTGATTGAAATCCATTCATTCGGATTTTGAAGCATTTTCTTACTCTTTAAATTTATTTGTTTCCATTGAACCCATATTCTTTTTATTTCTGTTGAGATTCGATCATTACGCGACTTGAAAAAATTAGTCATAATGACACATTCTTTTCACGTATTCTAAGTAGGGATAATTATTTGGTTTAAGTTAGACATTAACATTGTTAAGTGTTCGCGCGCGAGATCGAAGGTCCTGGGTCTGGGTCCCGCGAAAGGCATCGTGGATGGGCACTTGCTTGGTGTCCCAGTGCTTCCAGGTTTTCCATAGTGATCCAACTTTAGTCGAATCGTGAATTCAACTATTTAATAATGGCCCCCAAATGCCCTGGTACGGACGAGAGTGGGGAGAGTCCGCTCTCCCTAGGGGAGTTGGAGAACCCTGATTCCAAACCAATGATGCACATGGGCTCCAGGATCCTGAAGGAACAAATGGCGTATGAATCAATCGTTGATCACAGGCTACCATGGGACTGCATCTCCTCACGATGCTCCACTGCCTTGTGGATCAGACATTCAGGTCAAAGGCTCGGGGTGTGGCCTCCTAAGAAAACCACCTGCTTCAGTCTGGGCACCTGTGCAGTATCACAGCCCTCACACAAATCGAATGAGATTTGTGTGGCGCATATATATCTGGTGCTTCCTTGTACCAATATTTATGTGTTCAAATAAATAGATAAATTTAATAATTAAAATTTACTTAGTATTATTTGTTTGGATCTTCCCATTGATGTTTTTACGACTGCAACTGGTCAGTCTCTAATTGGCATATGTGCATACTGTGCGTATTGCCTCGATATAGCCTTAATTCACAAGCATGGTATTTAGGCTGTATCGAGGCAATACGCACAGTATGCACATATGCCAATTACAGACTGACCAGTTGCTGTCCTAAAAACATCAATGGGAAGATCCAAACAAATAATACTAAGTAAATTTCAACTTCACCCCATTGCACAAGCAAGTGGCTATCAGGACTCAGTGGCCGAGTGGATAACGCGATGGCGTTTCAAGCGAGAGTTACTGGGTTCGAGTCCCAGAATGAACATCAACTCTGAGATGCAGGTACATCCAGCTGACGAGTCCCAAATAGGACGAAACGTGCGTCAAACTGGATTCAATTGCTAACCACTATCCATCTTTGCTTACCAATTTAATAATTAGTTATTAAATATTTTATTTCCTAATAATCCTTCTTAAGGCAATATCGAGGTAATCCTCACAGAATGCACATATGCCAATGAGAGATTGATTATTTGCAGTCATAAACGTCAATGGGAAGGTTCAAACAACCAATACAAAATGAAATAATATTTCTTCACCACAAATTTTTTTAATCCTTTTTCTCACTCCTATTGGTGTTCATATTTGTATTGTGTTTATTACTCCCATCATTTTATTGTGGTATGTAACAACGTACGGTGATGTAAATTTATCGAGTTACTGACTTGTTAATTTGTGGGTCTATCGACCAAACAAACTAATGACTTATTTATTTATTGACCCGAAACACCGGATCTGTCAGCATGTGATAAATGGAGGACAAATATAGAATTTCACAATATAATGACAATTATATTAAGTAAACTAGTGTACACTGACTATAGTTTTACATAAATACAACTTACGTGGTTCAACACTATTGAGATCATTTACGACTGGACGAACTATAGTCATACCAGGACTACATGAAGAGGCTCGATAGTTGTTATGACTACAATTAGAAGATAATGTAGCCACTGTTCGTTGTGGAGGTTGTGGGCGTCCATGAGATGAATAAATATTTGAACGTGGATGAGATTGAGCAGAGATAATTTTCAATGATCCTTGATTATTTCCTCGTCGTGACATGGATAAAACCTTGATTAAGTGATTTTGAATTATATGAAATAAATTTACAATGAGAACTATTTCGCAATGTGAATAATTAAAAAAGAATTTCAGAAATGAAAATTTGTCTTGAACCAATCAATAATCTGGAAATGTTTATGATGAAGCATGTTGATATAAATGTTTCATGACGATCAGTTATAGAATTTACACGAAAGGTAAATAGTTGCGGTTCTTTATATAAACAAGTTGAGGTCAAATGAATGACTGTACTTAGATTCTGCATGCACGTTTCGAGAACAGAGCATACATCGATGACGCGAGATTCTAGAGTCCTAGCTGAAGAAACCTGTTGTCCTATCTGACACAAGGTTTGAGCATTAAAAGCTCCAACATGTAGTTTAGGAGACCAGGTATGACATTTCGTGAACTCAAACTATTAGCATTGGTGGCGCGTGGTGATCAAGATAAGTGAGAAGGATTAGCAGTTGAAATGGAAGAATTATTAAGAGGTAAGAGAAGGATTTGATCGTGAACAAGATGATCTCGAGTACTGATAGAGGTTATGAAGGAGGTTGCTACTCCCCGGCTGCCCATTTCGTGAAGGGATATTTCTTTTTCAGGGACCTGGAAAGGAATCTGAATTAGTGGTGGTCTTAGTGACCAGGGAGTGTGACCGAAGAGTCCCAGGGACAACTATCTGAGGCCCATCGTGCATTACTTTTTTATGGAAAGTTCTTGATATGTTTGTTCCGCACTTCTATTGGCTTTACTGCTGGAACGTAAATCCGTGTTGTAACTTTGAAGTGCGACATTTTCAGGGTAGACTTCCTCGAACCCGTTGCTTGGACTGTGAGAAGGCAGCGTCGTTGCAGATGCTGGCTGTCTAAAGGAACCATTTTACTGCTGTCACAACCCAATATAGTCAGTAGTACGAATTCACACTCAAACCTTAAGTTGCTGCTTTTATTCTCACTGTTCTCTAACCGACCTGCTTGATATGATAGGATCTAAAGAAACATGTGTTCCCATTAATATAGCTCGGCTGAATCATCAAGATAGATAATCCCGACCACTACCTCGAGGTGTCAGCTACAGTCGGGAGTTGGTTAACTGGTGAAATCCGTAAAAGATATTTACTCCCGAGGTAGCCTGGCATAATATATAAAAGCTGTGTGGACAGCAGTGATATCTACTAGCAACCTGTTAGTATATATTTCCAACTACAGTCAATACAGTTGGTGAAATTGACCAGAATAAGTCATAGTGGTACATTTGCATTCATTCATTTATCTCCCCCAAACTTTTAAGTTAAAACATGAATTCATATTTTTATTCAGATGATTCATTCCATCTTTCTGAACCATATGCTTTATGTTTAGTTATTTTAACTACGAATGATATGATTACTATTACTTCTAATTCGCTATTTGAATTATTCGTTCCGCTGTTATGTAAAATGTAGGAACGATACAGGCTTTACGTTGGTGATAATAACTGAATGGATTTCCAAAGGTTTAGTGAGACATTGTATCAGCAGATGTTCAGTCATATTGGAAGAGAGTTATCCCTGGACTTAAATGGATGGATCAGCCCAAAAGCCTTTAAAGAATGTGGTGTAGCTTTGGCAGTTAGGTAAGCTGAGATCTTAGCTGATGCCAATTGATTGGTCTAGATCGCTGATCGTCACAGTCTATAAGAAGGGATCAAAGTCCTCTTGTGACAATCACAGTGCAATCAGTTTTACTACTAGAGTGTTAGAAACATTAAGTAGAGCTCGTGAAGAGCGAACCCGAGAAAACCAGACCGCTTTCATGCCTGCACGTGGATGCATAGAACAAATATTCACCCTTCGGCAGGTTCCAGAACATAGACATACTTTTCGAGGTCCGACTATAGTTTTATTCCTTGACATTAAGACAGCGTCCGACTCTGTTGGTTGTACGGTTCGACAGTAGTGTCTGTCATCAAAAGACATACCAAAGAACATTAACCCACCACTCACCACTCGAACACTAATGGAAGAATCAGAACTTATAGAAAACTTTCATCGAAATCGATTACTTCAAGTGGTGTTCTTCAACGTTGTCCGCTTTCCCCACTCTTATTCAGCTTTGTCATAGACATGATTTTAGAGATAGCACTTTCATTATCTGACTTTCCAGAGGTTGATTTTCTATCACGAGATCCACCTGTTGACTTGGAATACGCAGATATACAGTTCTGTTTGGTGAAGACGATGGCAAAATATAGAGTCTTATGACCACCTTAAGCAACAACCCAAGCATGTTCAGGATGAGGTCCTGTCACCCCAAATGCAAAATGTTACTCTAGGACTGGTCTGTGTTGACGCCTGAACTAAGAATAGGGAGTGAAGTAGTTGAGCACATCGACCTCTCCGATTATTTTTGCAGTCTAATCAATCCTGATAGGTTGGTGTCTGACAAAGTCTTGGCACGAATTCTAAAAGTTCGGTGGACTTTGCCAACTTGCGGCTTAGGATAGGTATTCGTCTGCCAACCAAAGAACGAGTTTACTGTGCAGCGGTTCGCTCCGTTCTAATTTATGACTGTGAATTCTGGCTATTAAGAGTAAAGAATATTCGTAAGTTACTACTGGTATTCAATCGTTGGTGTCTTCGAAGCATCGCTCGTGTATGCTTGGCACACAGAGTAAGCGATGCCTGGGTCAGGAATAGGGTACTAGATAAGGATGGCAAATCGATTGATGAGGCAGTAAATCTTCACCAACCACTGCCTACCTCTATGGGAGATGTTGTCTGTGTAGGACTAGGTTGGAAGGAGGTTAGGGGCGGCCAGACCAAAACATGGCAACAGTCCATGAAGCTATCGACGATTGGACTGAGCCATGTTAATAGAATGTAGACTGCTTGGTTGGCGTCCGCATGGTTATCGTAACCAATGGTTAGAGATTTTCAGTGACATGGCTCGAAATCATTTCCAATGGCGCAGGTGCATCCATTCTTTGTCTTCCTCCAAATTATGAGCTTCTAAATTCCTCATAACTTTTCTTATGTTTCTATTTCAAAAATTTATATTTTCTTGAATAATATCTCCGATGCTTAACGTTTTCAATCACCACTGATACTGTTACTACTTCTATTATTCTGGAATTTGGTCTGACAATATAATCTCCCCATTCTAATGGAGTATGGTAACTTGAACCGATGTAAACACGTACCAGGTTCTACGTTGTGACTGACTGACTGACCTAACCAACCATTCTACACGATGAAAAAACCTTAAAAAGGAACACACTCATCTATACAACAACTAACTAAGGTGAATTCTATCTTACCTGCTGATAAGATGGCGGGGAAGGTCGTTCTTGCATACGTTGCTGGAATGATTGACACACTGTAGAGGATTTATTCCGTTCATATTGCAGACTATTATTATTATTATTATTGTTACTGAATTCCGAACATGAAGACACAATCGTTGCAGTTGTTGTTGTATATGAGGCATAATTTATGGGATTTTGTGAATTTTTATCCGATAACTGTTTAACAGTAAACAATTGTTTATCTGACTTCGGGTTTTGAACTTGTGTGTGAGCTAGTACCGATGGAACATGACCAAGTTGAAAGAGATGGGAGAAACGAATAAGAAACAAAAACCGAAAACTAGAAGAAATAACTAAGTATGCGTTAAATAATAAGCTGGATGAATCCAATCATTTATCAGAACATGGAAACACAGTGTAATGAAATCTAAAATGAAGCATTTCGGCATAAAACTAGAAGAAAAGCCACATTTACTTTGGAGTGATGCATGGTGTTTATGGTTCGCAAATTATAATTTTATTGTGAGGTGTCGAGAGATGTGTCCTGAGAAAATTAGTAGATATGGGAGAGAAAGACGATAATAGGAACGACGTAATACTGAAAGACAGAGTAGCCAGGAACTAAATGACAACTTGAACTTGGATTAAGTTTCAAAATTACACAGTATTCGGTAGGTCACATGATTCTCAAGGTTTCACCAAACGTGCTAAGGAGCTGAATGAAAGCAGTCCTATTCAGTTAGTAACAACAATATACACATAAAAAGGCCGTTGAATGTGCCAAACTTAAAGAAGCCAAGTCATGGGGGTGCAAAGTGGAACCCCACGCACCCAAGTTATGAGGTTGGAAAAGATACGCGAATAGTTCTAAAACTCACCACGCAAATCTCCAAGTTACAGTAACTATAAAAGAGTGATTTAGGCAACAAGTGAATATTTCGCTCGTCTATGAAGTGTTCGAATGAATCAAGCTCAGAGAACCGAAATGTTCAAACTAAAAAGGTATTGTGAATCCAACGTTCTAGGGAAAAGTTATTGATTACTAGAGTTTATAAAATATAATATATTAATCCCTGTTCAGTACCATTTTAGGTGGTGTTCTTGTAGAATCATATACTTTCTAGATACTAAACTATATATATATATATATATATATATATATATATATATATATATATATATATATATATATATATATATCACTTTATTTTGATTAAGTTACCTGGAACTATCAAGTATAAAATTGTTTCAATGGCGTTACTGAAACAACAAGTCCTCATTCACCTAGTTTTGAGTCACATAGAACTGTATGACGCCCGAAGATATTGCATAGCTACTCAGAATGAAGTAAGTGCGATAGCGTTCGGTAACTCGGTTTGGTAGATGTAAAATTAAATGTTTAAAATGAAAGAATACAATAAGAAAAAGTAAGTATAAGATTCGCATAACCAAACAAATTTGATTTTTATGGCGTTAATTGAAAATGCTCTGAATAATACAGAATGTCAGTAATTCATTAGGTAAAATGATGTTTAAGGAAATAAATAAGGTATGATATCATAGTTGAATTTATTACAGCACGTCAAAGTCAATGAATAAGACATTTACATTTATTACAATAGACTAAAAATGATATAGGAAATGGAAAATAAGTGGCGCATTCAGAATTTACAGAAAGATGAAATATATTCCTATCATTCTATTATGTCTCCTACAGTCAGTCAATAAAACTATCATATTAGAAAATTTGTGCATCATAGATGAAAATACTTTGCTTTTCATACGATTTCATGGTAGTCTAGCTTCGCTGTTTTGCTAGTTGTCTGTAGAATTCACCTTAATGCCGTCACACCTCTGTACAGTCATCAGTAAGACTTGGCCATCGGACCTTGCTTCTTTAGGTCAAAATTTAAATAATTGGACTACATCATCAATTCATCTATAAATTTTTATAAGCCAAATTTTAGTGAAGTGATCAAATACATACCAACTATGAAGGTCTTTATTTTCTACGATAATCTGGCTACATATTGAAGCATACATTGACCAACTAGCCAATCAGTCAGTTTTAAGGCTTAACGTAGGTTATTTAAAGACAAGATAAGGAAATATGATTGGCAAGATCACCTACTTACACAAAAACTCTAAAATAATAATAACAATTTATAATTGCAAAATTTACCTGTTCCAAGTTTAATGCCAGATGATAAATTACTTGCTATGTGGTAATTATTATTATTATTACTATTGTTATCATTTTCATGTCGTTTATTAATCGTGTCATTTTTCAGTGCTCGTTGTGAATTGACGTTTTGAGGATATTTTAAAGCCAAAGCTATTTCATAGGGTGGTGGCCGAGTTGGCTTGCAATTTAAGTCTATTGAATTGTGAAAAAGGGATGAGGGAATAAGAAAGATAACAAGAAAAAAAAGTAAAAACATTTTCAGATTTCTCGTCTTGAGTTACAAATATTCTCCATCGTCTTAAATGTGTGAGGAATAAATAAAAGTAGGGAAGGTATGACTTGATATTTGAAAAATTAGTTACAGAGACAATTCGTAGAGAGGACAAATTACACAGCAACCACTATTGTAAGTTACTCATCAGTAAACGAGACTTCAGAGAAACTCATATAATCTGGTTTCGGTAACCGGGGGCTGGTACCGTTATAGCGGTTTTATACACACATACTACTCTAACGGGACAGTTATTGCAAAAGGTAGGACTTTTGGAACTAGTTTTTAGGTTATTTTTCTTTTCTCTTATTCTATAATTAGCAGGTAACAGTACTGTGGTGTTGTCTACTTATATCTATATAAGTAGTGTATGGTGTGGGTCAGACAGAATGTATTTTGGCAGAAGACCGATGAGGAAAGAACTGAAATGAAGTGCAATCGCTTGGAAAATGCATGAACAATGGAATAAGAGAAGAAACAGTGAAGATTGAAACAATTGGTTGTTAATTTGCAAATTGACTGTTCATTGTTTGGTAATCAGAATTTACTGAGATAGTCTGTAATGTTTGCTTAAATACATTCGATTGTCCCCAGTCGTGTTCTGTTCATTACAGTACTATTGTATTCCTAAATCCTCCTAGTTTTAAGTTTTAAGTAGAATTATAAGCGGTTGTCACACGTTTTATTACTATCCCTCAATGATTGTTGTTTGGTTATGTGCTATTTACTTCCCTTTATGTCACTCATGACATGATTGTGTTTGAAGTACGATTTTTTATTTAGTGTGCTGTGCGGTTTGATGATTTATGCAAGTGACCTAATGAGTGTTAGAGATGGTTGTTTACTTTGCTTGCTGGCTGGACTGAGCCTGGTGGTTGGAATAGATAATAATAGATGCTTGGCTAGGGAAGTCTCTTCAAACTCAAGGTTTAGGGAAAGGTGGATCAAAAGGAACGCAGCTTACGATAGCTCAAGGTTAATTGCACCGACCAGAATGTATAATTGGTTACGCCTAGGGTGTTGGGCTACGGGTAAAAAAATGGACACGAAATAGAGAAATCCTAATCGGAATTCTAAATGGCAGGTACATCCAGCTGACGAGTCCCAAATAGGACGAGATGCGCGTCCTGGATTCCACTGCTAGCCACCGTCCATCTTTGCTAATAAATGAATGTAAATATTTGCTTTGATGATCATCTGTATGCAAATCAGTAACCAAGTTTATATACTTAGCATTTGAACATTATACTGTTCGTGCCTGTGTATGTGTATATTGCACTTTGAGAGGATAACGTATATCACTTTATAAATTGGCCATTTAGAATTCCGATCAGGATTTATCTATTTCGTGTCTATTTTCTTACCCGTAGCCTAACACCATAGGCGTAACCAATTACACATTCTGGTCGGCACAAGCTTGTGACTTCAGGCAATATCGAGGCAGTCCTCACAGGATGCACATATGTCAATAAGAGACTGATCAATTGCAGTCCTAAATAACAATGGGAAGATACAAGTAAACAACACCAAGTGAATTTAAATATTTACATTACTTTAAGAACTTAGAACTTTCCTATATGATGTGTATTAAGAGATAAAGCATTATAGTTTATTACCTAATAATTGGAGAACGTAAAAAATTATACAAAAACACGATAAACACAGTATTGTTATCGTAATCGAAGCAAACAAACAGCAGTTATGCATATTTTTAAAAATATTATTCATGAAAATCAGTAACTGAGTCAATTATTAAGACAAAAGATACAGTGACTTGTATGCGATAAAATGATTAACAAACGGGAACTACTTAAATGCGTTTAAATAATCCATCAAAGTAGTTGGTTTATAACCACCGTTACGATCAAACAAACTTTAAGTTTACTAAACACATATTTGATAAACATTCTTTTGAAATATTTTCCTTTCCCCTTCCCACTATCTATCATAATATACGGCATTCTTCATCACTAGCATGGTGTTTTTGCACTAACATGTACAATATACAAATTAAACGTCAAGTGCGATTCGGTCATTCGATGTGTGTGTACGTGTGCGCACACAACAAGATTTAAAGTTATGCCTTATTCTTCAATTAGAAAAAGTGTGATTATTTTCCTGCCCATAACACATTAAACAAATTACCACTCGAAGTTGAATCTTTATCTGAATTGTTGAAGCCATAACTGTAACCTGTGACAAACATATTAAAGAAAGAGTTAAAAAACAGTTCAGTATTTTACAGAATTTTACAACCTAGTATCTCAGATATTAAATTCATCAACCGATTTGACCACTATCTATGGACTTAGTCATGACAATTCCTAACTTGAACGGAAAACTGAGTGTTAAACTTGAAGTTTGCTTAATCACGTGAACACAGACACCTTGATAGAACCATTTGGTCGAAAAGCAGGTAACAATAAGCAAAAAAGTACATTAACATAATTGCAGAGTGGCCACAAGTGAATAAGTCAGTTCAAAATATATAAGTTTTATACGTGATGTGTCCAAATATGTCTATCATCAATCATTGATCGCATCATCAATCGCAGCTCAAACTGACTAGGCACATAAGCAAATATAATCAATAGCTTCGTCCAAAGTATGAAAGATAACTGAGTGCTACACTCGATTGAAGTAAGATACCAGACACAAAATATAAGTTGGGTAACAGGTTTATATTGGCGATCTCAAACCACACTTTTCTGTGTGAGGATAAGTTACACTACCCGACTGTCCGAACCGAGGCACATGGAGCATGGTTACAAACAGTTGGATGTTTTTAATCAGTAAGTTTACGGGCACTATTTAAGACACTTAAGTGTACATTTTCGATGAAGTATGAGTTTCTGTAAGATTTTATACACTTTGATAATGAGCTCTAATGATAGTGAAGTTTAAATGTAAAAAATTCTAATAGCTGTTTATGACCATTTAAATGTTCTTTTAAATACCATTAACTGGCTCGTAAAAAGACTCAATGATTTTCGTGTGGATCTAAAAATGCCATCAACTCAAATATGGAAAACTTACATTGTGGAATTATTCTTTGTATGACAGACTGCCGATAATTGCGAGGTATAGACAGCATTGAACCACCAAGTGGAAGTGTATTTACAGTAGGATATAAATAATTCTCATCAAAATTGAATGAAACTGAGTGCTGATGTTGTTGCGATGATGATTGTTCTCTAAAACGACCTGATTGTACTGTTGCCTGTTGTTGATATGGGGGATAGGCACCTTCACCAGATAAATGAGTAGACCGATATGGACAAGTCTGTTGCTGCAGGGAAATACCACGACAAGATGGATGTAGCAATGCAGCAGTATTAGGATTCAATGTTAGACGAGATCCTATGGAGTTTGACAGGGACTGTGGATTTGGTTGCTGCTGTTGTAAGACAAAATGAGATTATATATATCTATATATCTATGCATCTATCTATCTATCTATCTATCTATCTATCTATCTATCTATCTATCTATCTATCTATATACGCTTGTCTCATCCGTAAAAATCATCATTGGAAGGCTTCTAGAAGTTAGACACGTCAATTGCCTTGGCGTTTCACGTTTTATCTTTCATTTGTTGGTCTATGATTTCGAATAGATTTCGTACCTATAAAATCCTGATTCAGTTTTTGTTAGCTTTTGGTCAAGTGTCAGCAGTTTCGGAACGATTTTTGCACGCAATTAGTTTCTTAACACCAAATTTTTTGTCAGAATCGTGTGGACAAACGATTTTTAAGACCTAAATTCATTAGTAATAATGAAGACGGTGAACTCAAGATTGTAAAGAACGAGACTGCCCAGGTTCAGTGTTTTCACCAATAAATAGGCGATAGCCTATAGCTAACAAAGTTGTTAGCTCAGTTAGCATGTATACTGGACAGACTACATGTAACATAGCAGTTATGTATGCTTTATTTTAAAACTAAAGTAAGATATATTTTTATTGTACATGGGTTTTACATTTCCAGTTGATTTGAGCACTCGAATGCTACTAGTAAGGCTTTCCAGGGTGATTGAAAACGAACTTAGATCTGAAATCTTGTGATACACATATCATAGAATATTAGTACTCCGCCGACGGCGAAATGTATGGTGTAACCACATGTCCGTGTATTGATAATTAAGTGAGCGTCACAATTATCATTTTTTCTAAAATAATTTGTCTTCAGACCTGACGTGTCACATTTTCTGTATTATTTACGAACAGTGTGGTATGAACATTGACTAAGACCTCAAATACAACAGTTTAATTCAACCTGTTGTTAGTGACTAGACAAAGAATACCTTGGTAAAATTTACTAATTGTCTTTACATGAAAATGATATAGGGATAAAAACAACACTCAATCATACTTGGTATTGATGATTTGTATTCTGATTTGTTGCCTGACTAAAATATTGATGTTTCATAGTAGATTGGCCTCGGTTATCAGGTGGAGATGCTGATGTCTGTTGGTGATGGATTAAAGAATGCTGCTGCTGATGCAAATGAGAAGGATCTCTTTGATTTGGTAGCATAGCATACATTTGATTCGATGTAGAATTGCTATTCCCACTATCTTTCATATTAGTAGCTAAACGAGATGGTATTGGGATAAGATTATGCAACAGTAGACTTTTACTGCCTGATGTACCGATAGGAGTGGAATAACATCGAGTCGGTTGTGGATACATAATCTGAGCATGACTATAATGATGATGGTGCAAATGATTAGAACATGTGGAAATAGTAGCATTAGTGGTAGATGATGGTTTCGATGTGCTGTTATTTGACATTTGCATAATAGTATTATTATTTACTTGGTAAGATGATCCTATAGACGATGATACATTAGAATTGTTGTAATGTTGCGATTTCAAATGTCCAAACCCAATACCAGCATATGGGCGAACTGGTGATGTAATGAACAAAGACTGAGCAACATTATGAGTATTATTGTAATTAAAGTGATTTGGGAAAGTGAACACTGGTAAACGTCTCTGGGAAGAACGTTTACTACCTACACTCAGGGCTAATAGTTTGCGAGCATCTTCGACAGATTGTGCGCCTAGTAATGGTCGAGTAAACATATCCGTTGGATTAGATGTGATTGATGCTGCTACTGTTGCTGGTAGTACAGATGGAGATTCTGTCGATATGTTGATAACTTTAAGCGGAGACTTTTTCTTTGTATTCAATTCGACTACAACAGACTGTGCAGAAGTTTTTGTGGGAGAAAGTTTTATACCTACAATAGAAGAGTATAAAAAGTCCTAATAAATAAATTTATTAAAAAAGAAAAATAGATTGATTTAATTTTAGATGGTTCTACTATGATGATGCACAGCTGAAGAATCTCAAAGTAAGATGATGGAACAGCTATTCAGTAATTCCTTGTTTTCTTTTTAGTCATATAATGATTTGGTCACTTTTTGAAGAAAAACTAACAGTGAAATGTCAGATATTTATAAGGATATTCTTTTGACAATGTTCTAGCTGACGCCAGTCCACGACGAAAACTATCTACGAACTAAAAATTGTCAGTTTGTTTGTAAAGGTTTGCATTTCCCTCTTATTGATATTAGGAGCTACAATTGATCAGTATCTGTAGGGATACATCCAACCTAAGCGGATGACTAGATATTCCCTTTTAATCACAAATTTTCTATCATATCAGTATTACACCAGGTAGCGGAATATAAGACGCGCAAATTATCCTATCTGAGATATACCCGCATATCAGTGTTGGCGTTCTACGCTGATACTTAATTCCAGAAACTTATCGACTGAAACCCCGACGCGCTATCCACTAACCTATAAATCATTCATGCTTTTTCCATTCATATGAAACATTGAAGTTTGCACGGCGAATAACGACTGTATTTGAAAGATCTCAGTTACTCTTACAACCATTGGATTTTCACACAAATGAACTAAGAAACCTAATTAGTAAGTGAGAATGATGTGTCCAGTGATCGCTTAACTGATAATCATAACAATCTAAGGTGTAGTGAAATAGGACTTGAATACAATGTATTAAAGATATTATTCAATTTTCCTAATTGAAATTGATGGGATATGATTGAAAACCGATGTAAGAGTAAGTCAAATATTTGACCATCAGATTCCCTATATAACTGGTGTGTACAAACCTGGTGGCCATGGAAACTACTGTTTGTTATGTTTTGTAAATACATACTAAATTTCACTCAGTTTCAGTCGCTTATCTATTGTAATAACAATTTAGTTTACTTGATCTATACATAAGCTTGATTTGTTCGCATAAAAGTTTTATGTTGCTTGATAACTGATACGGATGGTAACAAAACCACATACAAAACATATCACAAAACGAAATCTCATCACCACAATACATATGAACTACGTAAAAGATATTGATTAAAGTTTTTTCCATAACTCGAAACTCATCAAAACACTCATGTTGTAGCTGAATAGACGGATTTAAGCAACAGCTAACAGATATTCACATGATAAATTAACAAACTGGATTGGACATTCTGTGTATAGTGATCTAGAAGTTGAGGGAAATTTTTTATACAGCTTATGTATAGTCAACAAAAGGAAGGAGAATAATGTAATGAATGATGATTTATAACTCAATCGGAAAAAAAACGACATGAACTTCAAGTTCTAAATTCAGTGTTATCCAACTACAAGTGGATAGAATTTATTTCCTACTGTCAGTACGGACTCAAGTGTATTATTAAAAAACGATGTGTTTATTTAGACACACACTTTCTTCCATACATCATTTACTCATTTCATACACAAGTGGTAAATGCGAAAAATGCCATTTCTATAGAATAAATAAATATGTAGCATATTATTTGTGATGATTATCAATTGGATGTATACATGGATATAAATATAATACTAGTTAACAAATATGCATTTGTGAAATGCTTGTTCGAAAATTGCTGTTATTTGGAAAAACACATGAATTGTCACAAGTCAATCAACTAGCTATCATCAACACAGAATTTAGTACAAAATGTCTATCAGTTTAAATGACCGAATTAATAATGCAGCAATTCATTTACTGAATATACAAGTTAAAGTGTTATTCACTACCTTTGACGAATGATTACAATTGTGCAAGAGCTAGTGGTATTATCCGACTGGATAAATCAAGGTAGACAGAGAATAGTTTGAATCTGCAATCTAATGATTGAAAGCCGGATGACCTAATCAACAAGCTACGATTGTTTTGTACTATCATAGACAGGGGTGTTTGGAAATACATATTCAAGAAATCTTTAGTTTGTGGCTGATATTCACAGTCAATTGATCACGCTTGAGGTATTTTTCTAAGACCAAAGAGCACTGAACAAATGTATCGCTTTATCACAAGACTTTTCGAAAGTGAGCACCCACAACCTCATCAGAGATCGAACCCAGTACTTTTGGGTATCTCAGAAAAAATCAACAGTTAGAAGCATTGGGTTAGCGTAGAAACAGCTATTCAGTGCTCTCTGATTTTCAATGGTACGTTAAGTGATATTAATCTGTGACAGAGACTACCTAGAAATCAGAACAATCTCGACAAAACCCTTTCATCTGGATCATGAGTTACAGAGTTCGTTTAAACGGTTAACATATTTGGGCAATTTAATGGACGCCAATACTAGCGAAGGGCGTTGTCCATTTTTTTAGAACTGGATTTTTGTGTTTCTATCTAGTTCACACATTTCGTGATTTTGTGTTTCAACTGATAATTGCGTTTAATTATGGGGTGGGGGCCTGTTTCGTACATCACATTATTTCAATCTGATCTCAGTATAATCAAATATGCAGGTAGTTCAGTTCATTTTGATCCAGCTTTATTCACTTTAGTTCGAGCAGCCAGTTACTTTCAATAGCTCACACGCAAAAATTCTGACTCACAATCAACTATACAAATCAGTATTTGGTATATCAATCACACTGCATAATTTTCATAAAATCCTACACTTTCTCAAGTAAACTGTTCAGTAACCGTCACGAATATATTTTTTAAATATACAATTTACGAGAACAGATAATCCATGAATTGAAAAGGATACAAAATAACAAATATTCACAGTTCTCCAAAAAATGACTACCTTTTAATTTTGTATTATTGTTGGAGGGTGGGAGATTAGATGTATATAACTGTGGATCATTTCCTTCATTAGTAGGATTATTATTATTATTATTATTATTATTATTATTATTATTATTAGTAGTAGTAGTAGTAGTAGTAGTAGTAGTAGTAGTAGTAGTGTCAGTAATGCCTACTGAAGATACAACAAAGGGTTGGATAGCTTTTGAATCTTTACCACTAGGTTCAATGCGTGAGGATAATTGGGACAACAATTCCGGATCTTGGACAACTCTTAAATTAGCAAAATAAGTACGAATCCGTAAAGTCATTAGCCAACTTTCATAAATCTTTTTTGGATTAATTGATGAAGAAATTACACCGAGGTTTGATCGCCGTCGAATACCACCACCGGGGACAATTAAAGAGTTAGCTGTAGGCAATTCCACATTGAAACTTTCACTGGAAGAAGTTGTAGGATTTCCATGTTGATGTAGACGCTTGTGTCCAACTAAACAAAAATTTAATCAAGTTTACATATAATAATAATGAATGCAACAGGATGATGAATTTTTAGTTTTTGAAATCCTGAAGTATTTATTGCAATGAAAGTTAGATTTATCAAAATGTTTACTGACATATGTATCAAACAGTTAAATATTTAATTATATAGGCATTTAGCTCAACATATTGTAAATTTTAATGTAAACTAAAATATATGAAGGAGTTGGTTGAAACGAAACTGAGCGAGGTAGGGTATAGGCTGAAACGAGATATCATTTCATGAAGTCATGACTGTTAGTCTCAGCCATGGTGGTAGGTATAGATTACCTGGTTGAGGTATGTGTGATAATCGTGACTAATAGTTGGAGGCCTTAAGTGACAGTCTGAAATCGATCTCATTGGCTTTAAAGCATCGATACTTTGTTTTTTCTGACCATTTTTTTTCCGAAAATGGTGTTCCGTATGCACAGTCATTTTTCTGTGAAAAATGCTTTTGGTATTGCAATTATTACGATGCATTAGCTATTCATATCATTAATCCCAACTCGTTGTGCTAATTTTATATGGGATGGGTTGATACATATTTGTAGCCCATTTCACATTGATTATAGTTGACTGTCAAATAAGAACAATTTTGAGGAATAATATATATATATATATATATATATATATATATATATATATATATATATATATATATATATATATATATATATATATATATATATATATACGATAGAGACTATTCAAGTTACATCAGATCCAGGATTCACAACCCAAAATAGAGAATGAGATTAACACTAGATGTTAATTCATTCAATATAATCACACTCAGTGAGTTTGGAGGAGTAAGGAAATCACATATTTAATAGTTGGTAAGCTTAGTGCTTGTTTGTCCACGCTCAGTGACCAATAATATTTCAGTTCAACTATCATATATTATCCACAAAACCTATATTTGGATTGCAGGTGACCGTAGAATCTAGAATGAGAGTTTTGTTTTGATTGAAACTCACCAGCTAAATGTGAATTCCAGGGTTACTGTTCACTCTGAGATTCGAACTCAGTACATTACTTTAAACACTATCAATATACTAAAAACTTGTAACTAAAAAGGAATATCGAGATAATCCAAAAATGATGAATATATTCCAATAAAAACTGATCGATTATAGTTCCTAATATCAACAAGTATGGATATGTCTAGACAAATTTGACTGACGTTTTGTGATATATCATCAAAATGTTGGGTTTATAATGTTTTGCAGACACTAACAAATAGCTTACATTTCTCTGCACAATCTAGACAAAAAATCAATAGATTTTTGCCATATTTTGTGTCATCCCACAATAAATTTTCCAAAACTGTTTATGATTAATGTATTTTAAGGTGGGACGATGTATGGACTTGTGCAACACACATGGAAAATGCGTAAACCGATAAAGGTTCAAAACCTTGCCTTCATTACGTAGAACACTTAGCAAAGACATTAGTCACTAGATAGTTTGATAACATGAAGCGATGTTTCGAAGACAGTGATGGCTGAATATACGTGTTCTTTATTGGTTACATTAAATCGGTTGAACAGGAGTAAGACAAAGATAAACAGACCAAAAGTATCATTTCATAGTAGGCTTTCACGTAATAAACTTGAGCAGAGGGAGAAGAATGTTTTTGGTTAGCTAAGGTTATCATGTAAAATTAGAGAATTTTTCTATCATATCTTTTCCAAACTCAGAACAAATTTTGAAAACTACTGAATAAGCTATAATTCCTCGAGAACTTTCTAAATTCTGAGAAAAATAGAGGAAATAATCACAGTATCCTGACTTGATATACATCAATCTAAAGGTAATAATAATAAAATGTCAAATCCAACGATTATGTATACATATATCACTCAATTCCATGGGGACATATGAACAGGGAGTTAACATGATCACATATGAGCTATACAAAAATAATCGGTGTGATCAGAAGCTAATAAATCCTTAGTTGTTTAGACCTTCAAAAATATTATAAAATGAATCTTGTATGAAGTTGGAAAACAACTTTTTTCTAAAATATTAGGTTATTTCTCAACAGTCTAGGGTAGATCAATATTAACATCATTTCAAGTTTCGCTAACGAACCACTCACAAACCTCTTAAGTAAAAATTAAAGAAAGGAATGAAAAAGTAAACACACTACCCACCGTTAAAACCAGTTGAAACATTAGTCGGATTTATATGATTCGTATCAAAGTTAAGTGTGCTTTCACGTTGTTGCTGTTCACTGTAGTCAAGAGAATTTGAATGACTGAATTTCCTTTCAACCATATTGTGTTCTGACCAATTAGAATCTGTACTAGCATTATTATTGTTATTATGGTTTGTTTGACTGAAGTTATTTATCGTTGTAAGATTTGAAAAGTACGATTTTGGATTGATGGATGAAACAGAAGCGACTGCTTTAAGCGCACTTAAATTGGCGCCAGCACGTGCACGTCCGACACCACCAGCAGCACGACCGTGATATGTAGTAGTGCATAAATCATAATCAACATTACACATCCGACAAATGGAACGAACCTAGAAAGTAAGAATAAAGGGAGATGTTCGAAAAAAAGATGAGCAACAGCAATCACAATATAAACGTGGAAGTGCAAAATATTTACTTTTAAGGGAAAATTTCACGAAAAAGTAATTGTGAAACAGCAAAAACACTTAAGCAGAGGGAACTTATGAAAAATTTTCATGGTGACGAGTACAACGCAGATTTTCCAAATACACACGATTCTCAAAGACAAAGTCTTGTTACATGGTCACTCAATGTAGTTGCATCTCAAAATAATATCTGATTAAAATAATATCAACTGAAAATCACTTTATTTTTAATAGACAACTGTATATTATTGACGTACATGTAAACACTAAATGTCAATGCATGGCAGTATATGTCCGTGCAGCATACAAAAACTATGTTGATTTATTGAAGCAAAACAGCACGGAAAACATACTATAGCTTATGCCGCAGCTTCACTGAAAGTTGAAAGGAAACAATAAAATCTGAGAAAAAATAATTCAGTAATGGTGTTTAATTATGTCGGTATTTTTTCTGTTTCCTTAAATACGAAATAATACAAGTGGTTTAATAACATTTTAAGAATTAAAAAAACTGAACAGGTTTTTTAATACGAAAAGTGGTCCTTTCTTGTAACAAGTATGGAAGGAAATCAAGATTGGATAGAGATAAAGATTGATGAATTGACACATTTCTACAATTGTTATGTGTTTTTAAATAAGACATCATATGTGACTGGGACATAACTAGTTCTAAAAACGACACATTACTCAATCTGATTTAGGAAGGTGGTTCAATTTGAGATTAATTTTCATAGTCATGAATTGAAAGAACAGAGAAAGAATAATGGAAATGAACAAAGTCTGGATGGTCTGAAGATTAAGCATTCGCCGCAATGCTTGGAATTCAAGTGTTCTATTGTTGTTGTGGTCGTGAATGCCCACTATTGATAAGTCTTGTACTAGGATGAAACAACAGTTCAATGATTTCTGGTTTTTAATAGTTGTCTACATAAAATCAATTTGTGGTATAAAAGTACAGATTTAACGATCTCCAAAACCCGCCTATGCTATGAAAGAATTAGGATAGTTGGTCTATTCCAACATAGAATTTCTCAATAATGTAAGGCCTAGAAATCTACATAGAATCAAAAACTTGGAATTTAATGACTTATAGATCTTCAAATTTCGGTAGATTCATTATTATAACGAGATTATCATCCGATGTAATCAATGTGTAGTTGTCTGATCTCTTATTTTGGTTGATTTTGTAAATCAAATCAAATTTGAGCCAAACTAACAAATACGTAGAAAGTTTTTTAAATAACAAAAAAGGTCCCGTTTATCAATCACTAACATCAATATGATTGTTCACTTGACTCCTAATATTTTACCACATAAATCAATCATCATGCATATTAAGAATTGTTGTTGTAGCCTTGATTTTTCTAAATTCTTTAATTTATTTAACGGAATTAAATGTCAATCTCTTGACTTTGTTCTGTTGAACGGATATGACAGTAAATTAAAAGTTAGTGTTTCATGGTTAATGACAATTGTATACCAGTGATAGCTAGCAGGGCGTAGAAGTAAGAAATAGTTGACAACTTTCTACGAAGAAAATAGTAAATTATATCATTTATAAATAGTTGTAAAAAGATCCAAACTGACTTTGTAGAGTTGAAAGTGGATTGATAAAATGTGTAATCAATCTAAATTTCAATGATAGGAGCAATGAAACAATTACGATATTATAATTAAATTAATATATTTGTAATATCCCTATGAGTAGAAAAAATTTTTCTACTCATAACAATCTACTCAATGCTCAATTTATTCGAAATTATCAAATCAAAACTTGGTAATGATATTTACAATTACGATATTTATTAACTAACTAAGCAACATATCTCTGTTTATGAATATTGTGTTTTAACAAATAAATAGTTATAATTTGACGTTTAAAAAAAGAACCAATGTTAAATATTAAGTAGATTTAGTGGTTGTGGTAGTAGTAATACTGATGTTAATTATTATAATAAAAAATAACTTAAATAACTTGCGCAATAACTACAATGGATTAGCTTATATGACGTGACGTTTGTTTCAATCAACTCGTTTCATTGTTTTATGTTATTTCAAGTGTATTTATTGTTGCCTTGAATATAAAATACACATACATGCACACACACACACACAGAAACACTATTTAAGTAAATACTTTAGTTTTCTTTTTGTCAATATAAGTCAAAAACATACACACAAACGTATACCAACACACAGCATTTACATTGCGTATATACATTCATTTACAGCAGTTAATCTTATTAAATCTTCTATCATTTAAAGAAAACTTAATCACCCTGTCAAGAGTAAAGTTTATTTTTAAACAGAAATATTTTGATCGTAGTTAAACAATGTTTTGTTGTTTAAACTATTTGTTTTTTTGTGTGATGTAAAACACAACAGAGAGTACGTGTAAAACATAGTTTGTTTATATATATATATATCAATAGCTGACTAATTCATAAGAACACACATATCAAAATAGTTGATTGATTATTAACAAGTTTTTGATGAAATAGCTATAATACAGAGAATACATTCCTGGTTAAATAAAAAAAACACATTAAGATACTTAAAACTTATCACAATCAATCTCATAAGAAATTGACTGTAGTGGCATAGGTGATAAACTTTTTCTATGCTCTATAATCTAAATCCTAATTTACCACTACTGTTGGTTTTATTTTAGATACTTAGTATTTACAGAATGAAGACTTGGATAGATATAGATTTGTACGAGATCCCACGTAGTTGATGTGGGTTTACCTGTCTGAAATGGTAAAGTTTGGAAGCTAAACCAAAGAGAGGTATAATAAGATTTATTTGATATGTCTAGCAACTGATACATACTCATAAATAAATAAATATATTTGTAATATCCCAATGAGTGGAAAAATTAGATTTTCTGACGTTTCGTGACTCAGTGTAAGCCACTTCTTCAGAGAATAAATAACCAAATTAACATTAATCCAAGTTTAAATAGTACACCGGAACAATCCAAGAATATTAGGTGAGATCAATCAAAAAACAGGTCTGAATAGATCAATGTCATGTCATTTCATTTCGTTCAAAGTGATTCATAAGGGATATGTATGTAATTTTGTGTGTATGTATGCATTGTTAATGACGAAAAATGTGTGACCTTTGTAATGACAAAGGATAGAGTTTAATTTGTAATGTAATGGTGTGAGATTGTAAATAATATTAGACTGGTTGACTAGGATAGATAGTCCAAGTGGGATGTATGGTAAGGCCTTCTTTTCTATTGAGGGCAGTGGGATTAAGCATTATATGGAAAGCTTCAGCTACTCTTCTTTCTTTGTGGTTGGAAAAACCTTGTAGTATTTTGATATTTTTGAAATCAATTTGATTGATCACCTAATATTGTTTGATTGTTCCGTTGTACTATTTAAACTTGGATTAATGTTAATTTGGTTATTTATTCTCAGAAGAAGTGGCTTACACTGAGTCACGAAACGTCAGAAAATCTAATTTTTCTACTCATTGAGATATTACAAATATATTTATTTATTTATAACAATCCACCCAATGCCCAATTTATTCCAAATTATCAAATGATACATACTCAGTTTATGTGATCTAAAATTAATTAGGGTGATATGTATGAAAAAATATGATCGATTTATCATGTCACTGAAAACTAGATGTTATGGAGCCATTCTGACGTAATTCGGAACTCCTTACAAATATTATTATTGTCAACGGATAACCTGATCACCTCGTAACCCACTAGATCATTATGTCAAAGCGTCAGCCGAATTCATGATACATTACAGTAAGGAACCGAATTAACTCAATATTTAACAAATAAGTGTCGATCTTAATGAAAGACTGAATATTAATTTTTTCTAAACATGATTCCGAATTGTATCGTAGTGACCATGGGGTTGTTAGCAGCACTGAAAAAGGCTGAACCAAATCATTTACAGCTAGCAAAAAGCAGAAATAATAATAGTAATAATAATAACTGTTTAACTAACCTCTTTAGCAAGCATTCGTAATTTGACAAAATTTACTAATCCATCTGGAGTACAAGAAGGATTACCCAAATGGATAAATGTTAAATCTTTCAATACTAATGGTAGATAGGGTAACATTGGAGCTGATACATTATTAGCTGATAAGAGAGTACGATAATGATGAAAATTTCTAGATGTATCCAATACCATCTGCAAATATGAAGAGATATGAATGCGAGGGTAATGTTAATAAAAACGGTTTTTAAAATACCATTTAGTAATAAGATACAAGAAAATATTATATGCTATAAGCTGCTGATTTATTCCGTATACAAAATTAACAGATAAATTCACTGAGTAGATTTGATTTAGAATTAAAAAATCACTATATCCCAAATAACTTGAAATCAATTTTGTTCAGTGATTAGCATCATACTGTTATTTTATTGTTATGTAATAGACACTAGCTGCCACTTTGATATAATGATTAGACTTATCAATTATAACTGTAGGACTACATTGGCTTCAATCCTTCAGGCTCGATGTCTTATAATAACAGAAAGGTTGGTTAGATAGCGGTAATATTAAAAGCAACTACTTTAGCTGATAGGTTGTACCACCAACTGTATTGAGGTATCGTGCCGTTATAGTGTTTCTCACAAATAGCTAGTATCTTCAGCGATCCTGTGTTCGGTACACAGAATTTAAAAGGTTAGAAAAAATTGAATCTAGGGATTTCTGGTGCCAATAATAGGGTTGAAAACGTCCGGCAGTAATACTATAGAAACAACGATTCATAAAATGATTATCTGTAACTGGGTTCAAACAGTTGTCGATTAGACACTGCACCCATCCTCCAACGTTCATCATCTTTAGGTTTCTCAAGAGAAAATAACATTTCTCGATGTAAGTAATTGGGCAGTGTTAACCACCAGTATACGTTAAACAGTACTTCTATTCAGCTAAAGACATGGAAGGCAGATGTCCTTTAACTATACTACTTGTTGTAATTATCGATGTTTGATAACCATCCAAACTAATTTTACATAAACCACAACAATGGCAAATAAATTTAGTCCTATGCCAATTACTTGAAGATGATATACACACACAGAATAAATGATAATTGATATAATCAAATGACAGTTATTCAAGAAAAACTAAACATGCTTGAAAAAAATTCCCATCACGCACATTTGATCTTGTTAGCTTAACGGCTACTGAAATTGAAGTGTAAAACGATAGTGATTACAAAAAAGTGTCACATTGCTTTCCCCTAAGACAAACAAAATCTCATACTAAAGTAAATTAGTTCATGCTGTCACATTTGGTTACCTATTATAGAAATTAAGAAAAACCAGAACACTCAGATGTTTTTCCACATTTAATTTTGTTTTTCTGTACACATTTCTTCGACGACGAGATGTAATCAAAAAATAACAGACAGAGGGGAAAGAATTAAAACATTCGTGGGTGACTATTGAAGATATTTGAATTTGAAAAACGGTTCCAAAGTAAATTAACTTCATTTAGACAATCTGATATGATAGAATAAAAAGCAAAAAATCACAGTTGATTTGTGACTTTTGATCAACATTACTTTTATTTTTAATTCAATGTGATGACTACTTAGTGTAGTATTTGCTTTGTTCTCCAGTGTGATATTCTATTCGGTATAATATTAATTTATTTGATTGTGATGCGAAGAAAATTTTCTTTTCGACGAAATCATTTACTTAAGCTGTACATTCGTATATATAGTGATATGGAAAATATATGTCTATAGTAGGCTAGAAAAGATTGCATTATAAATGGATTCGACAATAAATAACAAATGAGGTGGCGTACTAATCAAGGGGTAAGGGAGAAAATAATTTATGGGTCACTGCTGAGGCATTGGCAATCCATGAATTCAAGCCTGAACTTTGCGTGCAGAAACGATTTGTCCAACCTCTTACCCTTCCTTGGCCCTAATTCCCTCATTGGGTACGTTTTTTGGTTTTTGTACTTTTATCTGATTATTATCGGTTTGTTGTTTTTTAAATTACTACTTTACATTTAATCTCTAATCAGTTATTATTATTATTATTACCTTATACAAGTTTTCTTGATTATTACTCAGATTATTCTTATTATTATGACCTTTGTGTTTGTCACTTTTCTTCATATCTGTCAATTGAACTATTATCTGACCCATAAATTATTTTCTCCCTTACCCCTTGATTAGTACGCCACCTTATTTGTTATTTATTGTCGAATCCATTTATAATGCAATAACTTTTAGCCTCCTATAGACATATATTTTCCATATAACTAAATATACGAATGTACAGATTAAGTAAATGATTTCGTCGAAAAGAAAATTTTCTTCGCTGAATTCTCTTTTTCTTATTTAATGACATTATGAGTTATTTTACTGATTTGTTATTATTGATAGATATGAACTTTTAGATGAAGTATTTCTTACGAAAAAAAATATGTGAATATATATCAGTGAAAATTATGTCCGGTTCACATTATTTATTTGTTTTTGTTTTTTTTAATGTTTAAAATTCAATGTTAAATTATCTCAATTAAATCACTTTTATCATAGTTTAGTACATTTAATTGAGAGGAATATTCATGACAATTTTGTTCACGTGTCTACTACTCTTTTCATCTCTTTTATTACAAAAATACAAACAGTTGATATGACTAGGTCTTTACAGAGATATATTCATATTAGATTGTTACATATTGTATTAAACATATTTTATTTTTTTATAAAAAAAGTAATATCAGAAATAAATATTCAATGAATAGATTATATACATGTAAGAGATGGATATATGTTCAACAGACATGATTAAACCAGGTATGTATGTATGTATAGCAAAGATTTGATTCTAAAATAGTTATCAAGGTTCAAAACTGTACAGTTTGGATAATGATAGTTATTAGATTCAGCTACAAAAAGCTCTAACGAATTCACATGATAGACGAATAATACAAGAGCGATTAGTATGTAGTATGTTACATGAACAAAAACATCAAAACCAACAGTCGTGTGAAAGGATATAGTCATTACAAAGTGAGTTAGCTGATACTGAATTGCGTCGAAAGCTTGAAAATCAAGTTCGTCAAACAAAAAACACTTTGGATGAACGTCAAAAGCGTGAACAAGAACTCGGCGGGACTATAATTTATAGACGACTCAATCAGCTTTCGCGGGTTTTCAAAGTCATGGCGCTAAGTTCGGTACTTGATGCTTACGTACGATCGGTTTACAGCGGATTTTAGAGAAGACGTGATAATTCAGCGTCTACAAGAGAAGGGATTATTAAGAAGTTCCTATACTTGTGACTGTGGTACTCAAATGACCGCTGTACGGTGTGCAGACTACCGTGATGATATTATCTTTCGATGTTCTTCATGTTGGAAGAAGAAATCAGCTCGAACAGGAACTTTTTTCGCTCGATCAAGATTAAGAAAAATTATGATACTTGTTGCAAATCGGATAATAAAAGCACCTGTTACACTTGCTGCCACGTTTACCGATGTAAGTAAAGTTTCTGCAGTTCAGTGATATGAGTATTGTCGAGATATATGTAAAGCAAAATTGACAAGCTGACACCAATCGTATGGAGGAGTAGGGAAGATCGTTGAAATAGACGAAACAGTAGTAAGGAAACGGAAATTCAACCGTGGCCGTAGTATTAAAGAAGATTGGGTAAGTACCTCTTCCATAAATATATCTCACAGGTCCTTGGAATCTATGACAGATCATTACAAAAAGGACATTTCCCATGAGTCAGGAACCGACAGGCACCAAAAATAATACCGATTATACAGCAATATGTGCAGCCGGGCACTACGGTGTATACAGATAACTGGAGAGCATATAGGTGTCTAAGTAGACTTGGATACGTGCATGAAGTTGTTATACACAAGCGCCATTTTGTGGACCCTACAACTGGGGTGCATACCAACAACATTGAAGCTATGTGGTCGAGGCTGAAAGAATTTTTGAGACCTTATCATGGCTCCAGAGGCCGACTACTATGCAGCCATATGGGTGAGTTCCTGTACCGTAGGCACTATGATTTTAGAACTTCTGAACCTATATCTGATCTTAAGAAGTTTCTGAGCCATGTGAAAGAACAGTATCCGCTTTAATTTTTTAGTTTCGTATAATATATTTTTACTGTATACTGTCTTCTGATTGGCTAATGTTTCTCAAGGTCATCCAAGACTCGATCAAAGGTCATCCATAAAGTATAGTCTCGCCCAAAAATTCAACAAACAACTTCAAACGTTTAGAAAGGAAAGATAAGAACTATTTGATAGGGTATCGCATTTACAACACAGTTTAACGGATGATGAAAAAAAATGCGTCATCAATTGATGAGGTCAAGTAGTCATATGGAAAAAGATAGGAATAATCCTAAAAGACATTTAAAAAAGACAGAGAGAAAAATAACAAGAGCGAAAAGAATGTGAGTAAGAATAATTTTAACCGTACAGAGTTAGAAATAAAATAACGACGTCTGGAGGAAGAGAATTCGAATAGAAAACACATTCAGTTCATGCAATCCAATTTGGTTGAGATGGAACAAACTCACACTAAACATTTAAATGAACTAGCAAATCGACATCGAGCCAAAAGTCAATTGAAATTAGAAAAACTGCGCAGTAGCAAAGCATAAGCTGAGCTTGCACTTGAGGCGACCATAAACAGTTCAACAATCTCCACAACCCCAATCTTAAAACTATTATGTGCTCACTAGTGACTAGCTTCGAGAAGTTATTCTCGAAGTCCTAGTGAGACGCCGTGGTCAGTGGAGTAATCTGTGTCGCATAGAGACAGATATCTACCTCAGACAATGGAAGATGGTCGCGCAATATCATAGATTGGTTGAAGTTAGACATCAACATCGTTGGATTCTTGTTTAGTCGTTTACAGTTTGAGCGTTCGCGCGCGAGACCGAAGGTCTTCGGTTCGAATCCCTTATGCAAGATCGTGGGCGAGCACTGCTGTGGAGTCCCGTAACAGGATGAAACGACCGTCCAGTGCTTTTACGTTTTCAATGGTGATCTAACATTGATCAATTCATGATCTCAATCAAAAACTCAACAATCTCCACAACACTAAACTAATAAAATCAAACAATTGTTCAATAGTGCTGTCACAATTTTCAGTTGCTTATTAGTTAATTTTAACACAAGAATTATAAACTATCTCATAAAATTGAATAAAGTGTTTTTTTTTCGCAGTTTAAGAATAGGTTTCATTATTAGTTAATATCAACTGAGGAACTAAAAGAGAACATTTCGTTTTGTCTACTACGAATCAATTAAGTAAAACATATATCATTAAGATAAGAAGCCAAAGGCAATGTGATTTTAATTAATCCAGAAAATGTAATATTAAAAGAGATGGCAAATTATCAACTGCTACTCATTTAATCAACAGATGATAAACACATTATCAATCGTTGCTTAGGATAAGAGTTAAAGTATGCAGTGAGAAAGATTTACAAACTAAGAAAGTAGAAATGGATTTGTAACTGAAAATATTTCTTCCGTTTACTAATTACTTCAATTAACGAAAACAGTTTTCATGTGAAGAAAACATTAAGAAATATTTACAAGGATCTTTCTTCCCATAATGAACATATATTCGAAGTGATTAAAAGAAAAGAACTTTTTTTTCACTCCCGTCCAAATACAGATAAACTCAGAAACAAAGACGAAACCAAACAAAATATATATTGCTTTCAGTAGTTAGTAAATAACAGAGAAAACAATATACACACGTGTATCGATCCAGGTTCTTAACGTATAAACAACATATTAAGAACGAGAGTTAGAAGAAAAGCAGTCCAGATAAAACTAAATGCAGTGGAAAGCTTATACATAAAGAATATCATTCAAAAAAGAACGAATGAGATGGGATAATGCAAAGTATGAAATGACTCTAAGCTCAAAAAGTAAGAGAGTGTAAAGAATAAATGTAACTGTTCCGAATACGAAAGATTTTAAGTGATGCTGTAATGAACAGAACACGACTGGGGACAATCGAATGTATTTAAGCAAACATTACAGACTATCTCAGTAAATTCTGATAACCAAACAATGAACAGTCAATTTGCAAATTAACAACCAATTGTTTCAATCTTCACTGTTTCTTCTCTTATTCCATTGCTCATGCATTTTCCAAGCGATTGCACTTCATTTCAGTTCTTTCCTCATCGGTCTTCTGCCAAAATACATTCTGTCTGACCCACACCATATACTACTTATATAGATATAAGTAGACCACACCACAATGCCATCCAATATCACCAATTATACAATACGACTATTTCGCACATCACAACCAGTAAATACCTGTCGATATGGCTCAGGATAATGGTCAATTACATTATGGAGCGATGCAATATCTCTCTTTAATCGATTCTTACTTTCCTCCAATCCAGCTAGTTAGTTAGATATGGTTAACACTGACGTGACATAATCCGAATTAGGTCGATTGTTATGTGAAATTATTCAACCACTATTCAAATATATTTACTCTTCTTCTTAATATGGTACATCCAAGTAAATTTTACAAGAATACGCGTAGATAAATTATCAATACCAACGATAATGTGTTACATAAATATTTATATTTGTGAATACATGATAGAAGTTGATATTTTAGGGAAACGTAATTTCTAGATAAATAAACACTTAAATCTTGTAAACAAGAAAGAGAAAATAAAACCATTCAGGTGAAATTTACTAGTCATTTTATTTGGTGCATTGTTAAAAAAAACTCTATGCTCAAACTAACTAATGTCTATAAAACCAAAGTAGAATTAAAGAATTTTATAAATTAAATTGTTTATTTCTACATATACAGTCTTGACTGACTCAACTATATAACTTATAATGTATCGGACTATTTATTTACATTACCACAGTACAACTTCAAATAAAGTATAACAACAAAAAAGACAAAGTGCATGAGTGTGTATGCCGAGCTGAAGAGTTCTATTTAAAGACAAATTAACTGCCGGCGAAACTATAATTTATAGACGACCTTTGAACGAATCTTAAGTGACCATAAGAAACGTCAGCCAATCAGTAAACAGTCAGCATAGAGTAAAAATACATTATACAAAACCAAATAACTGAGGTGGATACACTTCTTTCATATAGTCCAAAAACTTGTCAAGGTTAAAAAAAGGTCCAAAGGTTCCGAAATCGTAATGCATACGGTAGAGGAACTCATATATATCGCTCCATAATAGTTGGTCTCTGGAGCAATGATGAGGTCATAAAAACTCTCTCAGCCTCGACCACATAGCTTTATTATTGTTTGTATGCACTCCCGTTTGTAAGTCTACCTTTTTAATTATAGATGTCCCTACAATACCCATACTACTACACAGTCGAAGCTTCAGCAACATCTGCGATTATTGCAGCCAATGTTACTGGTGCTTTTATTATACAGTTGGCGGAAATTATTATAATATGCCTTAGTCTCAATCTGGATCGAACGATAAAGATTCCTATTCTAGCAAACGTCTTCCTTCAACATATATTACATCGAAGGACAACATCACGGTAGTCTGTACAAGGTCTACAAGTCATTTGTTACTCGTAATTACAAAGACAGCAACTTTTTAGTAGTTCCACTTGTTGTAGCTGCTTAATTGTCAAGTCTTCTCTATAATTCTCTGTGAACCGATCGTACATGAGCATCAGGTACTGAAATAGGTGCCGTGAACTTGAAATCCCTCAAACGCCTCTGATTGGTTCGTCCATAATTATAGTCTCGCCTAACTGCCTAGTGTATATGTTGATTTTCAACAGTTATTTAGATTAATACATTTTATGTTTAAAAAAAACTATCTGTACACCGCCACAAACTGACAGTCATAATAGCAAGAATTATTATTGTGATTTAAAAATAACAAAAGCATACTTCGGAGATCACATGAAACTCCATTATTTCATATAGGATATGAGAGTAGAAAATGTCGACAATTCGTTGCTTTTACAGAAGAAAAAATATAGGTACATGTGCAATAGAAGCATATTTTCCTGCTTATTTAGCTAGAAATTATTTTGATTATTTATTAAAAACACTTACCAAAACCAAAAAACATTTATATATATATATATATATATATATATATATATTAAACGAGAGAAAACTAACACTCAAATCTCGATAGATCTTCTGGTATTTATTTGGCAAACGATCCCATGTTTGCTTTAATCGTTCAACAGGTGTTTGATGTAACCCAACTAGTAAACAGAACATTGTGTTAAAATTACGCAGTTCACGACATAATTTGGCAAGCTAATAGATAGAGTGAAGAAAATAAAGAAAAAAAGGTGTAATTTACGTAGTACTTATTATTTCAGATTAATAATATCACTCCTTACTTATATGCGCAGAAAAAAAGCATAGTGTCGCATAGAGACAGATATCTACCTCAGACAATGGAAGATGGTCGCGCAATATCATAGATTGGTTGAAGTTAGACATCAACATCGTTGGATTCTTGTTTAGTCGTTTACAGTTTGAGCGTTCGCGCGCGAGACCGAAGGTCTTCGGTTCGAATCCCTTATGCAAGATCGTGGGCGAGCACTGCTGTGGAGTCCCGTCTGACGACCGTCCAGTGCTTTTACGTTTTCAATGGTGATCTACCACTGATCAGCTCACGATTTAAATCATATTGCTTGAATTTAAGCGACTACAATTTACCCTGGTAACGGTGTATTGTAAGAGGGTAATTCAATAAAACCATTAACATGCACTGACTGACCAAATATACGAAGTTAATAAAGATCATCAGAAGATGTATGCATGAATAAAGGTGGAATAATGGCTAATAAAACTAGCAGTTCTGTTTAAAGTGAATTAATTCGAGTATTTAATATTGTTGGGATCAACAGAAAAGGTGTGAAGATATTAAACTTAATTACGAATAACTGTAGTGAACGATTGTATGAAAAATATTAATATAGTTTATTTTTTATATACATATGGAACAAACCACATTCCGTATTATATATTTTATTATACCTTATGGTAATGAAATCAGAATACGTAAAGAGCATTAGGGTTCTGACTTTTTGATAATGAACGGCTTTAAACTCTCAGAAAAGAGAAAGTGGCTAGTAACAAGATGATTTGAAGGTGTACGAAGCATCGTACTGTGGACTATAGATCGATATGTAATACGAAATATGGAGGCAGTCAATCAAACATAATTATAATAAAACCACTAATTATGCATGTAATATTCCAATGAGTAGGAAATTAAATTTCTGACGTTCCTCAGTGTAGTGTAAGTTACTTCTTTCAGATAACTATGAAATAGTAATCGGAAGATTAAAAGATCGGACAGTCTCATAGATGTAAACGAAACGTCAAAACGTAGATAAAGTATTTGTTAGTCTATAGTACTCAGCATCAGCTCAACTTTTAACTGTGATTCGAATACAACAGACAATTACGCACGTACATAACCATCAGAGGCCGTTACTAAGTCGAAGTTTACTGTATGCATTGAACTTAGCATCTAAATACAAGACGACTGTGAAAGAAGAGGATTTCCTTTTGAATGATAATGAACCGGGTTAAAAACAAATTATAATCTTTTTTATAATTCAGAATCTGGAATTGATGAAGCAGTGTACTCATTGGTATACCGAGAGTACATTTAAATATACATAACTCATACAATGATATTCAATACGATTATCTCCTTGGTTTACATTTCAATGAACGACAAAAGTTTGAATTCATACGTGTGAGTTTAAAACAAATCGAACGAATGGGGTCTGACTATAAGCTCATTAATTATCAAGAGTGATTACGAATATATAACTTTCATCGGCATTTGGACAAGTATATAGTGGAGGCTACGGTAATCAACAAACCTTCAGAGGCGTTAGATGACAAGCGGGTTCGGTTTCGCAGATCCATTAAATGATAGGTATATCTTCATTTGACAGTCTGATGAGTCACTATTCCACGTAGAGGATGAAGAAATCAAAGTACTAACAAATTGTTTTGAAGAAACCTGGACTAAGAGGCCTAATCGGCTGAAAAGCCGTAGCCATCCAATTTTTAAAATTGTAATCTCAAATGTCCAGTTCTTTTTAGGAAGGCCTCAAAATGAACAACTTGACAGAAGAGAGAAATAGAGGTCCTAGCTAATTCACTGATTTTGCTCATCCAATCATACGGGAACTCAAGGATGTTATAAAAAAGGGACATTTCAAATGACTTGGAAATCGACCAGTTTATAGCAGGGATCCAGCAATAGCACGTAAAAGGGAAGTACAAAGAGGTAGCAGCATGTATTCAACTGATCGTAGAATATTATGAAAGCAGATGGATACCAGAATATTTATGTAGTTTAATATTGCGTGATTTAATGTTGAACACTTGGACACTAAATAACCCTTATTGGAGAATAATGAGTGGCCAATGATTTTAGCCGTGCAAGCGAAATGTAAATAACAAAAAGTGAAATGTGGTTTAATGCTCAAAACAACGTGGGTGAGAGAAAGACACATGATGAAAAGATTGAATTAAACTTTTGGGTGTTTTGTCTTGACGTTTATTTGTTAATCTAACAATGTATTGTCAGAACTCAAAACAAGTGACTGCACTCTTCCTTCACGCTATGCCTTATTTAAATGAAGACAGGTTAGTGAGTGATTCCAACCGAATTTTTAAATGAAAATAGATGGAACCCATTTAATAAAAAGACTGATTTTTAGTAACAAAGACAACATACTTTAGATATGATGATAACGTGACCGATAAAACTACTGAAAAATACATTCATTACATACACAATTAAAAGTTACTTGCTCCATTATTATTGGTTTCTTAACCACTCAATGTATAATAGTTATAAAAATATCACGGAAATGATCTTATAAGCAATACTCTAGATTGAGATTAGACCCTCGATTTTTTTCAAGTGAAAAAGACACATCAACTTGATAGTAACGAAAAAACTGACACTATTTATTTGATCTCCACATAAATATTTTTCACATCTTATCGTCTATACTAAGAATGGAAATTTAAAACGCAAAAAGTTTGAGAGGGAAGGTAGTAAACTCGAAATACTCTTCAAATTTTGCGATTAGAAGTAAAATATAGTCATAAGAAAAAACAAAATACCTTGATAAAACGTTTCAACAAATCAACACGTCGATTCAAGTTAGTTTCATTGCAAATTTCTGTAGGAGCCCAATACGCTTCACGGTTGACAAGATCGGTGAATCGATCCAAATTTTCATGACCTGTTGCATATCCAGTATTACTACTGTTACCATTATTGCCAATAACAGATGAAGAGATATTATTAACATATGCATTACTAAGTCCAAATATTTCATCAATATATTCAGTGGATTGAACAGATCGAAATATTTCGTAATCATCAATAGTTAGGCGAGCAGCTAATTCATTTGGTGGGAGCTAAAGGAAATTATTTAGTTAAAAGATAACAGGTGATCAGATAGGCAGATATTAGGAGTGACAAATAAACTGAGTAGTATCGGAATGATGGGCTTTGTGGAGGTAGAATTTATCACAATTGGAGTACCCATTGAGAATCAGGCTGAATTGAACAGGTATTTAAACCTAGCACGCAACAACTCAGCAGAGAGCGCCCTTGTTAGGCATGGATTTAACAAATTTACACATACGTCTACCATTCTAGAAAAAGTTGTATCCAGTCCGTTTTTAGGAAAGATTTATAAATAATCTTTTAACTTTTAGTATCAACACTTTTTTGTGATCAAAGAAATCGAAAATACGTATATTTTAAGATTTTAATTATTTTCGAAGATTTAAAGGTTGTATAATTATCGTGAAGATATGATCATCATTTCAAGATTTCCAAACAGTTCAAACTTAGAAAATCTTACTAATAGAGCTGAATTCTTCATAAGATTGGCTACACTACCGATAATTATTTTAAATTATAATTGTCAATCCTTGAATATAATTTGCTTACGCCTGTCACTCCTCGTCAGGAAGCGAAGGCCGCCCACCAGCATTCTCCATACAACACTGTCCTGGGCAATCCCTTCCAGTTGTTATTCATCCTTAACATATCTGCTTCCATCTCCCGCCGTAATGTGCTCTTTAACCTTCCTCTTTTCCACTTCCCTTCAGGATTTCCTTGGTGCATACTGGGGTCTACTGATGCAGGGACTGCTGCTACAATTGTTGTCTTCGTCTGTATTTGTTCGTGAGTATGAGATTGGTGGGCTAGATCATCTGCTAAGTCCAAATCGTCTAATTGATTCTGAGAAGTCCATTGTATTCCGTGCTTCCCCTCAGATGTTGAAGTATTCATAATCCAGTCAATCACCAGTAGAAAGAGGAAGGGGGGAGAGTAGACAACCTTGACTGACTGGAAATGCCTCTGTCAGCTGTCCTCCATGCACCACTTTGCACTGTAGTCCGTCGTATGAGTTTTGGATAATGTTGACAATCTTTTCAGAAACTCCATAGTGTCGAAGTTTCTATAATGATCTCCTGTCCACGCTGTCAAACGCCTTCTCATAGTCAATGAAGTTGACGTATAGTGACGAACTCCACTCAACTGATTGTTCCACGATGATCCGTAGTGTTGCGATTTGGTCTATGCACGACCAATCCTTACGGAATCCGGCATGTTGATCTCGAAGTCGAGCGTCTACTGCGTCTTTCATCCGGTTTAGCAACACCCTATTGAAAACTTTTCCTGGTACTGCCAAAAAACTGATGCCTCTGTAATTCTCACATTTGCTCAGATCTCCTTTCTTTGGTATCTTGATGAGGCATCCTTCTTTCCAGTCCACCGGCACTTTTCTTCCTCCCAAACCTTCTTGAATAGAAGGTAAAGCATCTTTGCAGTTGCTTCAATGTCTGACTTCAATGCTTCAGCTGGTATTTTGTCAGGTCTTGCTGCCTTCCCACTCTTCATTTGTGTGATGGACATCCTGATTCCTTCGATCGTTGGTGGAGTGACAGATATAGGAAGGTCTGTAGGCGCTGCTTCGATGTTCGGTGGATTCAATGGAGCTGGTCAATTCAGTAGTTCCTTGAAGTATTCTACCCATCTGTTCCTCTGTTCTTAAATCTCAATGATTATCTCGCCTTCTTTGTCCCTAACTGGTCTCTCTGGCTTACTATATTTCCTTGACAGTTTCTTCGTTGTGTCATATAGTCGTTTCATATTCCCTTTTCTTGCAGCTTTTTCCGCCGTCGTTGCTAGTTCTTCCACGTATTTCTGCTTGTCAGCTCTAATGCCCCTCTTCATTTGCTTGTTTGCTTCAGTGTATTCAGGTAGTGCCTTGACTTTCTCTGCTCCAGTGCGACTGTTGTTAATTGCTGCCTTTTTGTTCTTCCTTTCTTGAATTTTTTCTAGGGTTTCCATAGAGATCCATTCCTTATGACGATGCTTCTTGCGACCCAGAACTTGAATAAAATTTATTGGAAAGAATATTATTTGCTTCAAAAAAATAGAAAATTTTCAAACAATCTCGTATTAGTTGGTGACGAAGGTTTTCCTAAGCCGTGAAGTCTGCAAAAAAGAAGTTTCAATGCACATAAATATAATGGATAGGCTATGTGACTAAACTGAAGATATATATATACTGGGAACAAAGCTTTAAGTGACTGTGAATTGCACTTATCGTCGGATGACAATATAAAAAACTAAGGATATTCTCTGCAATGAAAATATTTTCATAGTGCATGATATCCACGTTTTCTTACGATAAATCTGGAAAGGTTACTTTGTTGCATTATTTGACAGCTAATATCATAATCAAGAGAGAAAAAGGTTACCTGTGTAAACGTAACACGACTTTCAACCAGGATTGATTTTGCAACATCATCCGCAATAAGAGGATCATGATTATGCAAACTTTTTAAGTAATACCTCGAATTTAACGTTAAACGTCCAGATAAATCATCCAGTACATTAGACAAGCGACTTTGTTTCACAATTGGCCCGGATTCAACAGTCACCTTAACAAGAAAAAAATTATGTAATAGGTTGAAATTAGGAGTGCATGTTTGTGTATGGAAGGGGAGTGAATTTGCAAAGATTACTTATTTGGAAACTAGTGTCTACTATAAATCAAAATCGTTTGATGAATCATTCATATAACATTACGTTATAACATTACGCTATTTCATTTTAGATTGCAGCTTGTCGTCAATAGAGTGCACAAGGATACAAATCTACACATACTCGAACACAACAAGTCGCGTGACAGCTTATGGCGAACTGTCATATGATTATACAACCTCAACTGGTGTCCGACAAGGCTATCAACTATCTCCATTTTTCTTCAATCTCACCATAGACATACGGATGGAAATAACGCTCTCGTCGACTGGATTTTCGAGCATTGATCCCCTACCAGGAGATCCACTTATCGACCTAGAATACGCACATGATATAGTGCAGTTTGGTGAAGGCGCTGATAAAATGCTGAGTCTTTTGGTAGCACTGAGTAACAATACAAGGATGTTTAATATGCGTTTCTTCCACTCTTAATGTAAACTGTTGCTCAAGGACTGGCCTGTGTCAACACCTGAACTAAGAATAGGGAGTGAAGTAGTCAAACGCATCCACAAGTTCACTTATCTTAGAAGTCTGATCAGCCCTAATGGGTTGGTGTCTGACAAAATCTATGCAGGGACTCGAAAATCTCGTTTGGCTTTTGCCAACTTACGTCATCTATGGCGAAGGCAAGATATCCGTCTATCAACTAAGGAGCAAGTATACTGCGCAGCAGTTCGTTTTGTTCTACTTTACGGTTCTGGAACGTGGCCATTAAAACCAGAAGATACTCGTAAGTTACTAGTTACAGATGCCTTAGAAATATTGCTCTCATCTGCTGGGATCACCGGGTAAGTAGTGGTGAGGTTAGACGCACAGTATTAGTGAATGATGGTAAATCAGTTGGTGAGGTTGTGAATCTTAATCAACTGAGATGGTTGAGCCACATGTTACGTATGCCTGAACACCGATTACTACGACCCGCGAGACTATCGTAACCAATGGTTGGAGACTCTGTGTGATATGGCTCAGAATTGATCATGATGGCGTCGGTGTATACACTCTCTGCCTTGCCGTAAACCATGAGATTAAAATTGTTTAATTTCTTTCTTTCTACCAACTAGTTTTCTCTTTGTACGATATCCTCATAAACAATCTTTCTTTTATATATTACCATCAATGAATTAACTATTTTTATGAATTTGGTGTTCATCTTGTTATGCTAATGAGGTATGGGAACTTGGACTGATGCATAAATTTACCTTGTCTTACATTGTAACTGACTGTCTATTTTGTCAACAGTGAGTTGCAGATACCTATTTAGAAGTGATTGAGATAAGTTGGATGAAAGAGGATAGACAAATGTGTTACAAATTTATAACTAACTAATTTAATGATAGATTATTGTATGCATCACAACAAATACAAGAATGTATTGTTACCTAGTTTGTACATACTTCGTAACATTTTCGGATTCATTAAGTATTAATTGTGGTAGCAACTGTCGGGAATATTAATTGTGAACATTTGTCTAATAATCTGTATACTAACCTTAATGAATCTTCAATCAATTATCAAATCTACTAGTTCAATGTTCATTTATAATAAATTCGTGGGTGTAGGTTGTCTACTGAAAAGAAATTTTAAAATTCAATATTTTTCTTATTAAGTTGATTATGATTCAAGTATTTTGTATATTAATGTACATATTTTACTGAAGTAATAAATATTTGTTTCACATAGAGATTGTTTTTCTTCGGATATCCAGTCATTTGAAAGTTATGAATTCTTGATTTGGCTTCGCGTGAGTGGTTTTTTCTAACCTCAATAACATAATAAACGTCTACGCAATAACAAATAATGTAATGAAGATTTACGATTAATAATAATAATAATAATAACTATGAAAGAAAACTAAACACTAGACATACATGGTATAAGCAATAGGAATGTTGATCTTCTAGCGGTATACTGAATTCTTCCATGCACAAACGTGTCGCTTCGTATGCATTAGTCTGTCTACTCGGTAATATAATCAGCTTACTAGAATGATCTTTTCCATTATCACTTGATCGCCATACACGTATCACTGACAAATGATCCGTGTGTGTAATATTATTATTACCAGAATTTAAGCCTGAATAATTGAAGGTATTAGTCAAATTATCCTGATGTTGGTGAAGAACGGCAGTATAGTCACTGATTGTAGCAGCAACATTACTACCAGATATTAATGATTTGTCCAGCATTATTAAATCAGGCTGTGATGAAGATCTTTGCAGTGGTGGTGTTTGTGGGAAATAATTATGATTAGCAGTTTTTGCACTACTGCTGAATGTGTCATTGGATGGATGTAGTTCGTAAGGTCGCCTTGAATCATTACTATTATTACTTTGATTATCCGTGGTGGTATGATCTTTAAGTGAATGTGACCAACGTGATTGGGAAATGAATGACTAGATAGTTGTAACGTATAAAAAAATAAGACAACAACAACAAACCAATTATCACGGTATTGCTAGATTACGATAATGCAATACAATGTAGAGTTATCCATATGAAGGGAATTAAAATAATACATCAAAAATATACATACACATATTTAACAACATACATCAGGTGTTTGGAAGGAAAAAAAGTCACTTAAACACATGTTCATACTTTCAACTCTAAACCAAAGTAACTGGAGTAGGGTTTGAACCTGTAACCTAATCGTTAAGGTTAGGGTTCTCAGAGCACTTCACAAATGTGGACAAAGTGCAGACAAACATGCTGATCATGTAAATACATATTGACTTACAAAAACACATTATGAACCAACATCATTTTCAACCTTGACAATCATAATTAACTAACGTCTTTATATGAATCATCCATGTTCCGTTCAAGCCTCTTTTAGAATTTGTAAACTCCATCATGTTTTGATGCTTCAAAATATTCAATGAATAAATCTAGACGCATGAGGAAAATTTAATTATCTTTAAAAAATGTGCGTTCATCGAGAGTAATGATTTAGCTTTAAAACATTTAGATAGAGATTCCTCTATTTGCTTCTTGGTCATTAGTACAGAAAAATTTTAGACTATAGGAAAGTAGTTATAAATTCAATACACAGTGAGTAATACATTTTAAAAAGTGAAGATTTTTTACAACAATTTACCTGTTTATTTCTAACAGTCATTGATGTCGTATAAAACACTTGACTACCTTCATGAGAATGTGATAATCGAGTCGGTGATGTATTTGCACTGTGAGAAGGACGACCCGATGTAACATGTGAAGGCTGAAATTTTCGACATCTTCCAATTGAATTGTTGCCTGGATAAGTAGAGAGAGCGCTGGCCGTAGAAAAGGAGCATGGTGTTGGCATTTTCGGTAGTAGTACAGTTGAAGAAGACTGTTGATGAGGATCATTTGATTTCTTAACAAGATCATCAGGTATGCTTATACTAGTTGGTCTATACATGAATACAATAAAATGTCCTGGTTATCATCGTTATGGTGTAAAAATGAACGGCAAATTATTAGGCTACACAATCTAAATGAATGACATTTTACAATTAAGAAATAATCGTATATAAACTCTCTGTCTCTCTCTCTCTCTCTCTCTCTCTATATATATATATATATATATATATATATATATATATATATATATATATATATATATATATATATATATATATATATATATATATATATATATATATAGACAACATCCCGGCAGAGGCACTGAAACAAATGTAACAGCAACTGCAAAGATACTCCACATCCTCTTCAGTAAGATCTGGGACGAACAACAAGTACCAATAGATTGGAAAAAAGGACTTCTGATCAAGATAACAAAGAAAGGCGATCTCAGCAAGTGCGATAACTACAGGGGCATCACTCTTCTCTCAATACCAGGAAAACTCTTCAACAGAGTATCGTTAAACAGGATGAAGGACTCAGTAGACGCCCAACTTCGAGATCAACAGGGTGGATTTCGTAAGGATAAATCATGTACAGATCAAATCGCAACTCTACGTATCATTGTGGAACAATCAATCGAATGGAATTCATCACTCTACATCGACTTCATCGACTACGAGAAGGCATTTGATAGCGTGGACAGGAAAACACTATGGAGGCTTCTTCGACACTACGGCGTTCCTGAGAAGATAGTCAATATCATACGGAACTCCTATGATGGACTAAACTGCCAAATCGTCCACGGAGGACAACTCACCGACTCATTCGAGGTAAAGACAGGTGTTAGGCAAGGTTGCTTACTCTCACCCTTTCTCTTTCTCCTGGTAATCGACTGGATCATGAAGACGTCAACATCTGGAGGAAATCACGGGATACAGTAGACAGGCAGGATGCAACTTGACGATCTAGACTTCGCGGATAATCTGGCTCTTCTATCACAAACGCAACAGCAAATGCAGGAGAAAACGACCAGTGTAGCATCAGCCTCAGCAGCAGTAGGACTCAATATAAACAAAGGTAAAAGCAAGACTCTCCGATACAACACAATATGCACCAATGAAATTACACTTGAAAGAGGAGTTTTGGAGAATGTGGAAACTTTTACATATCTGGGCAGCATCATTGATGAACACGGTGGATCAGATGCAGATGTGAGGGCGAGGATCGGCAAAGCGAGAGCAGCATATTTACAACTAAAAAACATTTTGAGCTCAAAACAATTGTCAACCAACACCAAGGTTAGAATTTTCAATACAAATGTCAAGACAGTTCTATTGTATGGGGCGGAGATGTGGAGAACTACGAAAGCCATTATCCAGAAGATACAAGTGTTTATTAACAGTTGTCTACGCAATATACTTCGGATCCGATGGCCAGACACTATCATCAACAAGTTACTGTGGGAGACAACAAATCAGATTCCAGTGGAGGAAGAAATCAGAAGGAGGCCCTGGAAGTGGATTGGGCACACTTTGAGGAAATCACCCGATCACGTCACAAGACAAGCCCTCACATGGAATCCTGAAGGTCAAAGGAGAAGAGGAAGACCAAAGAACACATTACGCCGAGATATAGAGACAGACATGAGAAGAATGAACAAGAACTGGATAGAACTAGAAGGTGAGGCCCAGGACAGAGTGGGTTGGAGAATGCTGGTCGGCGGCATATGCTCCATTGGGAGTAACAGGCGTAAGTAAGTAAGTAAGTAAGTTGTCACCTTGATGCTGTAGCCACGTGGCCAGGTCGTCCAGACGAAATCTACCTAAGTTTTTTTTCAAATATTCGGGAGTAGTTTCGTCCTAGAGTTTGGGCAACCGGGAGAAGACTACTGTCCATAAACCTCTAACAGCAATCGAGTCACCACTAATTTACCAAGCTTCAGCATTGTTGAGATGTTGAAATAATAAACCACTACAGAAGAATCTCAAAAAAAAAAAATCTCCTTCTCTAATTCCAAACTTAGACTTCACAATTAACAGAAATAATTTAGTCATGTAGCGCACGCAAATAGCAAGTAAACGGAAAGATTTCAATGAAATTAATTTTGTACTATTTAGTTGTTGTTTGTTACATATATTGTATATTGTATTGTGAACAGTAACCAACTTGCAAAACTATGTTCACATGTATTCAAAGAATTAATCTCATTCAAGTCACAACAATTGTGAAAAAATATGATGTATAAAGTAGTAAATGCGTGCAAAAATGATGATAGTTAAATTTGAAAATAGATGCGAAAAACATAGGAAGGTAATAAAGCAGACCTCAGAATATATTGCATTCAACAGTATCCTTCGAATACTATAAAGACACATGCATTATTTTGTTTAAATATTTATCCATGTATATACGTACGTGGACGGTTCCAATGACTGAGGATTTTTGGGATGACGAATATATTCGGGTTCATTTGAAGAAGTATACGTTAATAGCGGACAGATAGTTACAAGAGGCCTGATTACATTCATTAAAATTGATGAACACCAAATCATTAGAGAAGAGAAAAAACCCAGTGAAAAATACAAGTAGATGATATCCTAAATCTTTAAAAAGTACTATGAAACAGATAATCCCATACATTTTTATTTAGGAATGCTGATGAATAGCATTCAGGAATAATCAGTTAACTCAACTGACTTAACCATCAAAGGAGATAAAACAACTAGCTATTTGATAATATATTACAACTACTGACAAGGGCTATCACTATAATAATCCTGATGACATATCGAGGAAGCTCCGAAAATTTCAGTAAATTATAATGTAAACCAGGTTTTATTTGATCGCGAAAATTGAGTACTACGTAAATGAATCATGTTATCCTATATTCTAAAGACAACATCAGAATATAATTGTATAAGCACAGTACAGATTTGATTTGATTGTTAAACAACACATTTTCCACAAATAATGTTTCTTTTATACTTGACGCTAAATTTCTATATTGACAAATAATCGTACGAATTATCAAACTAAAAAAATAACTGGTACAATCACAGAATTTTTATTCTACGATGTTTAAAACAAAATGATTATTCCAAATATCTATTGGTTACATCTCCTGAAATATCTGTCCTTTCTGTCAAAGTGGCAATCACAGCTACTAGAACATTTATTATAGAATGTTTACATAAAGTTACTACGTTCTAGGGTTAGTAAAATTGATGAGACAGAAACAAATAGGATCAAATATAAATGCATTCTTTATACACAATGAACAGTTTTATTATATATAGTCAAAACAGCGGCAAATATAACACATTGGATATTAACATATTGATCATTAATTTATCAGGTAGAAATCTAAGTACCCACGAAATGTCTTTGTCTAAAAAGGGTCTAAATTTCGATGCAAATAGACCACGATTATCACCTTTCAATATCATACCTGCAATTGAACGGGGATCGGATTCCGTTTAGAATGAAACAGTAAATGACGTAAGGAATAAAATGGCGGCCAATTTATTACATCAAAATACCACATATTTCGTATCTAACTAAAGATGAATTATATACACTAGAACAGCTGAGAGGTGATAAGACAATTATCATTACGAGAGAAGATAATGAATAAATCAGACTACGAGGAAAAGACCGGGGAATATCTTCAAGATCACCCACAGGCATTGATTAAAGAAACGAAACTTCAGGCTGGAAGAAGTTATAACATACAGTCGATTAAAATGAAACTAGGACAGTTATTATGGTTCATATTATATCCAAAAAGGATGTAATCATTGTAGACTCTATGAACTACCAAACATTTACTAGAACAGTACATCAATGAGACCAATGATTCATTTTACGGATACGTTGAAATACACAAGAGAAAATATTTAGCTAGTTTATTCAAAACACATGGAAAATTGTTTATTCAAAAATTTAAAACTTCACAGCATTTAAAGTTAATATCGATATCCTTAACATAATAATAATAATAATAGTCTGCAATATGAACGGAATAAATCCTGTGTCTTCATGTTCGGAATTCAGTAACAATAATAATAATAATAATAATAATAATAATAATAATAATAATAATAATAATAATAGTGATAATAATAACAGTCTGCAATATGAACGGAATAAATCCTCTACAGTGTGTCAATCATTCCAGCAACGTATGCAAGAACGACCTTCCCCGCCATCTTATCAGCAGGTAAGATAGAATTCACCTTAGTTAGTTGTTGTATAGATGAGTGTGTTCCTTTTTAAGGTTTTTTCATCGTGTAGAATGGTTGGTTAGGTCAGTCAGTCAGTCACAACGTAGAACCTGGTACGTGTTTACATCGGTTCAAGTTACCATACTCCATTAGAATGGGGAGATTATATTGTCAGACCAAATTCCAGAATAATAGAAGTAGTAACAGTATCAGTGGTGATTGAAAACGTTAAGCATCGGAGATATTATTCAAGAAAATATAAATTTTTGAAATAGAAACATAAGAAAAGTTATGAGGAATTTAGAAGCTCATAATTTGGAGGAAGACAAAGAATGGATGCACCTGCGCCATTGGAAATGATTTCGAGCCATGTCACTGAAAATCTCTAACCATTGGTTACGATAACCATGCGGACGCCAACCAAGCAGTCTACATTCTATTAACATGGCTCAGTCCAATCGTCGATAGCTTCATGGACTGTTGCCATGTTTTGGTCTGGCCGCCCCTAACCTCCTTCCAACCTAGTCCTACACAGACAACATCTCCCATAGAGGTAGGCAGTGGTTGGTGAAGATTTACTGCCTCATCAATCGATTTGCCATCCTTATCTAGTACCCTATTCCTGACCCAGGCATCGCTTACTCTGTGTGCCAAGCATACACGAGCGATGCTTCGAAGACACCAACGATTGAATACCAGTAGTAACTTACGAATATTCTTTACTCTTAATAGCCAGAATTCACAGTCATAAATTAGAACGGAGCGAACCGCTGCACAGTAAACTCGTTCTTTGGTTGGCAGACGAATACCTATCCTAAGCCGCA